CACACACACACACACACACACACACACACACACACACACACACACACCTCGGCACTGTTTCTTACCTGGTCCTGTGAGACAATTTCGGTGTTATAATCCAGGACATTACTAAGCACATAACAACTCATACTCTTTCTGGACTCGTAGTCAAAATACTCAAAGAGGGGATGAAAATGCTTTAACTTCAAAACTGTTAAAATGTTGTTATAGGTGTCAACAGGTATCTTCAGCAGCCTTGTAAGCTCCTTTGAAACTGCACTGCTGGTAGCAATACTACAATATAAATTAGTTAATTTAATAAATTATTGTTCTACATACCAAAAAGAGGGCTCCTCTTCCCACCTACCCCCATGCAACCTGAAAAGTTTAATCTAGGAATACCAACAGTTCAACTAAACTCTTTTCTTCCAAAGAAACGAAGATATTCATCTAAACATAAGCAGCAGAGATGCCCCTTATAACTAGTACAAAATAAATAAATGAATGTAATCTGATGTTCCAAAAGCTAATTAAAATTAACTTGTTTGCTGAGAATATGGAAAGCATTTTCCCAAAGAATGGTTCCCAGACTAGTACACAAAAAAATCCTACTGAATCCATAATGTAAAATAGCTACGAAACTGTAACTTCAATGTCCCATTGTGACATGGAGTTGACCCTGGATTCTCAAAGGCTATGCCAATGGAAGACAAGTTTTGACAGATTCTATGAAGATGAAAAGGCTTCAAAGAAGGCCCCAGCAAACTGTATTTGCTACCTGAAGACCAGCCATGCTAGAGATTAAATACCATGAGGTGTCTCGGCCACTGAGTAATAAAATTTTTGGCCATGGCAAAACCATGAAATAAAACAGCCCTCAGATCTTAGGTGGCCGCTTTCTGTTTCTACAGTGAGAGTGGCAATGTAATGGACAAGATGCTAGAGAGTAGTAAATATACTAATATTTAGATTGACTAAAACAATTTAATTTAACTGTTGGTACCTCTAAATGTGAGATTTTTATTCAAACAAGCATGACATACATACAGGACATCTTATGTTGGAAAGCTATTTTCCTACAGTTTTCCCCCTTTCTCTAACTTTTTGAAAAAGCAGTCTACGGCTGCTGCCTCTACTTCCTTCCTTCCCGTTGTGTTTAAATTCAATGCAACCTGACTGCTGACCTAATCAATAAACTGAAACCTCTCTATTGAGTTTTTAAAATTCATTCTTTAATATTCTGAATTTAAACACCCAAAATAAGATCCTTTTCATATACACAGTAGAACACAAAATGAGGACTAAATGAAAACGTGAATCTGCATTTCATATTGCTTGCGTTAGAAAAAATTATGTGATAAATTACACATATGACTTTCAAAGCTGTCTCACTTTTCCGTGCTTCCTTCTGAACTTTTCTCCTTTGTGTATTTTTAAAAAATGTTTCAATGGCACTCTTTTCTTGACATCACTATTGCAAAACCCCTTCTATTCCTCCGCCTCAACCCAATTAAAAAAACTGAGGAGAAAAAAACTTTACAACAAATAGAATAGTCAAGTAAAACAAATTCAATGTATGTCTTTTTCTACACTAATGATTTCTTAATTGCTAAATATAATAACTTTTTTTTAATCCTCATTCTTGACCTCTTTGCAGCATTATTAGTATCTTAGCAGACACTATTGAGCACCTCTATTTCTCTATGGGTTTTACTACACTGCTCTCTTAGTTCTACTTCCACCTGTCAAAAAAAAACTCTTCCTCAGTATCCTCTGCTGGATCAATCATAACCCATTCCCTAATTATGGGCATATCCTACTCCCCACCAAGGTTCTGTCCTGGGCCCTTTTTTCTTTTTCTACATTCTCTCATGGTAAACTCATCAGTTCCCATGAGTTCCTCTGTGCAGATGACTCAAAGACCAATATATCCAGTACTGGTCTCTCTTCTGAAACCCAAATCTTCATCACCAAAACTGCCTATTAGACACTTCAACCTGAATGTCCCACAGGCCTCTCAAATTCAACATGTGCCAAACAGAACCTGTTGTCTTTACATTCAAACTCAAATTCCTAAATTTCCCATTTCCATTTAGGTTGCTACTGTCCTCCAGCCATCCAGACTCACATCACCAGTGTCAATCTCAATTCTTCAGCCTCACCCCATATAACCAGCAGCCAAAATGTGATGTTTCTACCTGCACAATATCTCTTCCCCATTCATAATCACCATGATAATTCAGGCCCTCATCACTCCTTCCATGAACCATGACAGCAGGCAATTGGTCTCCCTGTCTTATTTGTCTCCCCACTCCAAACTGCCCAAGTGAATTTCTTAAAGCACAGATGTGCTTTAAGACCAAGTCATTTCCTCTCCCCACCCAACACAAACTCCATGGTTTCCTATTATAATTACCTAGGGTCAAAAGACAATGCCTTTGTGCTTCATCAGAGATCAAATGGGGGTTGGGGGGGAAGGGGTGTACAGGGCATTGAGTAAACAAAGAGAAGGTTTCCTCCTCCCACACCAAATGACCCTGTCACCTGAGACTGGCCAAGTGGGACACAAACACACCAAAGGGACGCAGCTTCAAGGAGCATAACCCTTGGACCAGAGAAGAATGCTGGTTATGGACTCAGGAAAAGATTTTCATTACTAAGAGTTTCTTCTTACCCTGGAAGATGCCTCTGCCACCATGCTTCAGCCTTGGAAGATCCCTCCATCTCTACAGAAGAAGTTTCTTCTTCTGCTTGGTCATTTCTTCCTGCAACCTCATTTTAAGGAAAGGCCTAGGCCAGTCATGCTTACTCCACTGCTCTCCGGGCTCTGTTCCTGACTCTCTAGACTTCTCTCTCCATCACGGCCCTCCTTTACCCTCTCACTGCCCCCTGCTTCTCATACTCATTTTAGGTGCTGCCTTCCCCCATTAGAATGTAAGCTCCTTTAAGGCAGGGGCTGACTTTCTTTTTGTATACACTTGTATTCCCAGCTTTAATAAAGTGCCTGGCTCATTAGTGCTTAAGTTCATTAAGTGCTTAATAAATGCTTATTAACTTGACTCTTTTAACATTTAAACATCTTCACAACCTGGCCCCCAATCCACCTTTAGAGCTTGATTATACATTACTTCCCTCCATGCACTCTACAATCTAGTTGCTGGCATTCCTGTTGCTCCTCACGCTCTCATCACTGGTCTCCATGCCTTCTCACTGCCAGTCCCCTGTGCCTGGAGGCGCACCCCCCACCCCCTTCCTCATCTCCCCTCTCATAATCCTTGGATTCCCTCAAGACTGAACTTGAATCTTCTTTCCTGGTTCTCCTAAATGCCAATGCCTCCCTCACCCTGCCCTGCAAAATTACATTATACATATGTTCTGTATATATATTTTTATAAATATATATAGATATATGCATTATAGCCCCATTAGAATGGGGCTTCTTGAGAACAGGAGCTGCCTCCATTCTGTCTTTATATCCTCAGGGCCTAGCACATAGCAAAGGCTTAATCAGTGTTAACTTATTGATACCACTGGAAGATGGGAACCATATCAAAATGGATGTTCTTGGAATAAATGAAACCAGAAGAAATAAGAAAGTTGAAGCTACATGACAGGATGGCTCCCCCAATACTCCTTAGAGAGGAAAATAAAGGAACTGGAGGAATTCGTTTCACCATGTGCTCAAAGGCTATAAGAAATAGCATTTCACAGAACTCTCAGTCATTTCACCTTGATAATGAACATAATAAAAAACTTGCAGGAAGAATTTTATGTCCCAACATCTGCTGCCGAGGATGAAGGACTCAATAAGATTTTCCAAAATATCAATATTCACTTACTTTAATGCAAAGGTGGGCATAAAGAACAGTGAAAATTATACTAGAAAATAAGATTAAGAATGAAAAAATAAAAGAGGTCTTAGGCTTATACATCATGGATGCTTTCTCCAAGAAAAGAAGGGACTAGGCACAGCAAGCACAAAGCAGTATCACAAAAAATGAAATGACTGGTCATGGAGTCATTTCAGAATCAGCCCTATGTGCAGTCAGAACATTAAGTAGCTAGCATGAAGACCAAAATCAACATCTTTTGTTGCTGTTGGATAAAGATGAGAAGAATACTCTGTAGCTATAACAGTTTCAAACTGACCTATTCAAATGAGCTACTGATGCCAGAAAACTGGGAAAAGATAAAACTTCAATAAAACTACCACCACTGTCTACCTAAGATTGATATAACACAATCATAAAAAAGATGCCCAATGAGCTCAGAAACCACAACACAAATAACTTAAAGACATACAGAATACAAGATCTGTTTATTGGTTATTTTAAAAAAGTTATATGGAGACTATGATAGGATTACTATCTCCCCACCAATCATCTTTTGTTGTTCAGTTGGAAACTGAGGCAAACAGGGTTAAGTGACTAGCCCACTTTAAGTGGTCTCAAGTTGCTCATTTACACAAAAACTCAACTTTTTAACACCAGTATTCTTCTTGTGATGCTATCTGACTACAAATCACAGAATCCAATCCTCTCTCAAAGCAAAAATTAAGTAAATGGAGAGATTTAGGAGGGAAGAGATTATAAGTACAAAGATTGTAGCTTATGGACAATAAAAACTTGTACAAAGAAATCAGGTGAAAAATATCAAGGAAATGTACGATTAGAAGCACTGCGCTCATCATGAAACAAGAATAAGTAACACAGATGGAGGGCTCAAAGGTTAAACTAAAACCTATAAGAAATCTCCAACACACTATGTCATGTCTTTTCAGCCTTTTTTTTTTTTTTTTTAACTATTTTCTGTTTTAGCTCCTTTCTCACGTCAGAGGATCTGTGATCTCACAGTTGTGGGAGATTCCTTCAACATTACACAGAGACTGCAATCCACTTACAACTTTTTGTTTGTAATCCTTGTCCATGTCCTTTCACAGAAGGTTCAAAGAGGATATAACTTACGCGTTGACATAGGTATGTATGAAAGATTGCTTTTCATAAAATTAACTGAATTCTTACTGGTTAACTCAAAAGAGAAAAGAAGGAAACACAGTCTGTATGCAACTGAAGGACAGGGGAAAAGAGAAGAAAAATCCACTGGGTCAGATAATTCACCACAAGATGTTGCCATTAGCCTAGAATAGGTTGGTGGCAACCAGTCAGTTACGGTGTTGGGCATTCATAAGAGAACTGTCTACATGAAATAAAGAATTTGTCAATACTAAAGTTCAAGCTGAAAAACATTAACAGCAAATATAATGACCCTCTACTTTAAATACAACAAACATATACACGTATTTTCAAAAATTTATGAGAGAATTCACTCTGTGATTTACACTGTCAGCTTTTGTTCCCCTTTTCCCATCACCAAGTATGTCAGTCTCAGAAATGTTTGGAATATATCCCAAGTCTTCGAAAAGCAATGGAACAGAGGAAGCTATTCTAAGAAAAGGCAGTACTTTGTAAAGGGTCTAGTAAAAATTTACATTTCTACTTACTGTTCTAGATTTAGCTTATTAAATATTTCCACCGTTGTTTCTAACACTTTATCAACATAATCCACACGATCTGGGTAGCACTTCATGGCAAGGTTAATGAGAGACACTTGTAAAGACACCACATCTTCTGAAGGCATGTCTTGCCTGGACTATAAATTTTGGAAAAACATAACTTTTTAACATAAATAGTTTTATTGGGGAAAAAACTATTCAGCAGAAGTTCTGAAAACTCAGAAGAAATGTTGCCTATACCTGTATTACTGTAGCCACTTGCTGTGAAAATATGTCAAAAAGTTTAATATCTGCTGGGATTCCAGGTCCATCTTCACGGTGAGCAAATAAAGCTAATCTAAAAAAAGAAAAGAATCTTTAGTGATCCTTGTGGATTTATAGCACTTATTTAAAAGTTCATAGGAAATGTGTGCACTGCATCAATTTTCTAATATGTTTGATCAATGTTCTTCTTGCACCTTTCAAATCAATGACATCTTTCATCTATCAACTCTTTTTTGTTGCTATTATGAAATATGCTATTATCTCAATCTAACATTTATGAAGACTCAGCACTTATAAACTGAAGAGTTTTCTGATATATTTCATTTAGTCAGCCTATCTCTTTAACAGGGCCTTCCTACCATACTAAGTAAAAAAAACAGTCTAAGCAAAGCCTTAAAGTCTCCAAATCTCTCATGTGTTTTTTATTACCTTTAGAAATGTGAACATGGTAACAAGAATATACAAATATCTGTAAGATCTGATTTCATTAGTATAAGGAACCTCCCTCCACTAACGAAGATTTAGTAGGTAAGTCCTAAGGACTTACCTGAGTTTAAGTGATGTGTCTAGTATCAAGTTGCTAATAAAATACTAGAGGTAGAATTTGAAGCCAGGTCTTCCTGACTCTAAGTGAAGTTACAGATGAAATCAAGCTATAAAAGTAATGTACTTCTAACATCTATAATTTATAACAAATACACTCATTTTTAAAACATGGAATTGCAGAGGTGACAATGATATATGTACTTTAAATAGTTACATAATAAAAAGGTTACAAAACCATAGAAAGCTACCAAAGATAAAGCAGTAACTATTCCAGATGAACTGATCAATAACACACCATCAAAGGGACTATCAGAGGTCATTTAATCCAGCATTCTGACTTAAAGACAACACTTACCATCCATATTATCCACATCGAATTATCCCAGAGAGAGTTAAGTATTTGCCTCTAATGTCTTTAAAATACTATGACCAGCAATACAGTGTTCAGATGTGGTGATATTTTCTTTTATGAGTAATAACAGAATTAGTTTGATAGTCAAGGACAAGTAGTACAACTGTGATTTCATTCATGCAGGAAAACATGGAAAATGAAACAACCCCTAACAATGCAAGTTGGCACCTTCTCTGCAACTTCTGATCTGAAAGCTATCTAGAATAGGGGAGAAAAAGTGACTTGGCCAAGGTCATTTGCTAATATATGCCAGAGATGTGCTACCTGACTCCAAGGCTAGTTGTCTATACACCATCCCTCTTACAGTCAACGGCAGTGCTATTTGTTGTGACCTCATGACTAACATCTAAAGACCTAATGATGCTTTCTGTTGGAAATTTATAAATCCATTTGGTCTTTAGATATTAGTCACAAGGTCACAACAAACAGCACTGCATTTCCTGCAATAAAGAGCTGCAACTGGGACAGCTAGGTGGTGCATCGGATAGAGCTCTGGCTTTGGAGTCAGGAGGACCTGAGTTCAAATCTAGCCTCAGACCAAACACTTGACACTTACTAGCTGTGTGACCTTGGGCAAGTCACTTAACCCCAACTGCCTAAAAATAAAAAAATTTTTTTAATTAAAAAAAAAAAAAGAGCTACAATCTGCTCATGCATAAATTAAGCACATAGTAGGCACTCAAGTACTTGTTAAATTATTTGTTGTTTAACCAAAGAAAAATGGGAATAATCTGTGTAGTAAAGGGGACAACATGAATAAATAAACCAGGTTTAAATCAATTCTTTGTTCCAAAGGCAAAGAGTCCCCAAAATTTAGCAAACATTCGGCCAAATGTTTTGTCCTACTCACCTATCAATTAAAGCAATGATTATGTTTTTCACATTTACATTTTGGTGTAACTCAGCACAGGCTCGAAGAAAAGGGTTCAAGGTCTGTAGATGAAATTCATCAGGGAAGACCTAAAAAGTAACACCAATTATTATCAAGTTCTATAAATTACAATGGATTCTCTGTACAATTTTCTTAGAGTCCATTTACTTTACATATCTATATTAATTCAAAAGCAGTAATTCATCTTGCAAAAACATAATTTATATTTTACACAACTAGATTCTAATAATCCATCTAAAAGGTTCATAATTAAAAGTTATCTTTGGAATATCCACTAAACACAGGTACAGAGGCAGCATGACATAAAGATTTGGAGTCAGAAGACCTGGATTCAAATCTCTATTCTGCAACTTACTACCTGTGTGACTCTAGCTAAGTCTTTTAATATCTCTGAACCTTACTTTTCTCATCTATAAAATGAAATACTGAACTATGTGACCTAAAAAAATCTCTTTCCAGCTCTAAACCTAGGATCTTAAGAAACAGAAAGAGATCACGCTAACCAAAATTCACCAACATCTAAACTAGAAACTAGCAAAATCTAGAGTTGGACACTAATCATTAATCCCTCCTATACCAGTTACCAAAAAAAGTACAATATTAATTCAAATGCTGAGTTTTTGGGAGAAAGAGGCTACTTATACAAGGAAGCACATTTCATATTTTACCAAGACTCCTTTAATACCAATAAAAATGAAAAAAGATAAAATAGAACTTTTCTAAAATGGAATTTTTAAAATTTAGTTAAGAAAACAAGACAGAAGAGTAACATTACCTGAATGATACACTCCATAAGATACTCTTGAGCCAAGGCATCCCTGCAATTCACAACTTGTTCCAAGATACCAGTCAAAACAATCTAGCATACGAAATAAGGGAAATGAAGACTACTTACTTTTTAAACGGCTTTAGGATTTTGAAGCCCCAACTCATTCCCTAAATATTACATAAACCATAAATACTTGCTAAGTCAACAAAAATTTATTTTACCAATGCTTCATATTTAGACTAAGTTTTTTTAAGACTTATATGATATAAAAATTACACAGCTACCCACAGAATTGCTGTGAAGAAGGTGCCCTGCAAATCTTAAAATACTATATAAATGGGAGCAGTTAGTATTAATACAAACTAAAAACCACTTAGAATCTGCGTGAAAATGCAATTTCTATGTAGTAATTAGAAACCATTTAAAAATCAATTTTATGATATTAAATAACAATTCCACAGAAAGATGAAACTTTACATATTTCATACGAAACAACTAGGGAGTTAGTAAACAACAAGAAATAACCTGTTTGTATCGCTCCACATTTACACCTTCCAACTGACTGAGGCGGACCAAATTTGTTCCCACTAGAATTCTCAGTTCTTGTCTTTCCCGTTCTCGTTTCTCTCTATCCCGGCTATGTCCTTGATGCTGCATCCGCACCCAAAGCTTATTCATTTCTGCAAAGTTTAGTAGTACAAAATCCATAGAATCACTGATGTCTCCAGTTGTTTCTTCACTGAAATAAAAGCAACATTTGGAATATTTATATTTAAATTGTTATCTAAAAATGGACCCAACCTCTCCCCTTGCTCATTTTTTCTTCTTCTATTTATATGCAAACTCTGGCCAGTGATTATGAAAACTGGTTTCAAAATAATTTGCCTCTGCTGTATTTCAAGGGGGAAGAAACTGTAGAGGTAATATACTAACAATGTAGGCATTCAAAAGGTGATTTTTTTGTCCCCTCCCCCCCCCCACGAATATGATATCACTTTAAGCTAGAAAGTTTTAAGAAAACGGATGTCCATCACAGATCACATACATTTTTATACAAATCTGTCTGTTTGCCCAGAGCGAGACTTTAAGCTGTTTGAAGAAAGAGACAGCTTCCTATACTGGGTAAGCCCCATACTGCCTATTACAGTACTTTGTATGTATTAGGTAGAGGTCTGCCGTGTAGGTTCATTTGCTGATGAAATGATTAAAATGCTACAGAACTGAATGTCCAATACAGACTAAAATGGTCAGACCTTACTTTTCACTCAAAAAAAAAAATCAACTGAACTTCCACAAATAAAGTAGTAACCCACGTTTCATAGCTTTTATTCTTAGTGAAATTCTCTCTAGCTACAATGGAATGGAGATGAGAGGAAACTCTTTCACTGATATAATCCGTTCTCAATTGTCTACTCCTTTCATGTAATGGATATCCATATATAATTCACCCAACTGGGTTGAAATCACAGTTCTAATTCCCAAGCAGAGAAACTTGGCCATAGTTTCAAGGGCTGTGTCCCAAATCCAACTGGGTTGGGTTTAAAGAACTTCTACCCCAAAAAATAAAGCACTCCTGATAATGATGGCTCTCACCTATGCATAATGACACTAATTACTAAAGCTATTTTCTTTCTGAGGGAATCATGCCAATTATTTAACAATCATACAAAATAACAGGTGGTAAAGAATGTTACAGGAATAAAATAGCTATGTACACGATTCAAAAACAATTGCTGTCTCTTACTCTGTTGGCTCTCCTTCATCAGGCAAAATGTTTCTGGTACACTGAAGGAGGTAATTTCGAAGAAAGAGACCTCTTAAGGGATGCTGTACACCACGGCACATCTCTACCAAATCTTTCAAAATATCTTTTCTGGACTGAGGAAATGACTTGACATAAACAACTCCCACTGTAATAAGTAGATAGCTAAAAGAAATGAGAGTAAATTTGGTTAAAAATGAAAATATTCAAACAGAAATCTTTCCACTGAGATAAGTAAATATACCAGCAGAAAAAAAATTCTAAGACATAGCTCTAGAGAGAAGAAATGCAATTAAGTCAGTTAATAAAGCCTCTTGTCTCAAATGTCTAATTTTATGGTAGCTGCAAGCACAGCCTTTACTGCAATGAAAATACTATCTGAATTAAAAGAAAACACAATCTCTAAAGGTTTCAGAAAGAAAAAAAAATGATCAGTAACCCAAACAAAAGCTACAATGATCTAAATGAGTTCTTTGTATTTTTGCTTTTTAAAATTCAATTCTATTCAACAAATACTTATTAAGTGTCTACTGTGATGTTTAAGGCACTGGTGATGCAAAGATAACAGTCCTTGCTCTCAAGGTGTTTACAATCTACTGGAAGGACATCGTATGTACAAAGGTAAGTAAATACATGATGCTTTAAGTGGGAAGAGAGAACTGACTACTCAGGGGATTAAGAAAGGCTTTCTTAAGAAGTGACACGTGACCTGAAAACTTGAAGAAAGCTATGTATTATAAGAGGCCAGGTGAGACAGGAATACATTCTAAGTGTGGGAGACAGCCCATGAAAAAAATCAGAGAGAAAATGGAGTGCTAAGTTCAGGGAACATCTAATGGGTTGATTTAGCTAGAATGAAGAGGGCATACAAGGGAACATTACAAAAAGTCTGTAAAGGTAGGTAGGTGGCCTGATTCTAGACGGCTTTAAATGCTGGACTAACTTTATACTTCACCCTAAAAACAAGAGGGATCTAATGAAGATTCTTAAGCACAGGGATGGCACAGTCAGATGTGTATTACAGGAATACTAATTTAGCAGCTGTGTGGAGAACAGATTATTGGGAGCGAGATGTAGATTGGAGCAGAAAGCCCAATTAAGAGGCTTCTGCAATAGTCCATGTGACAGGTGATAAGGGCATGCACCAGAGTGGTAGCAACATGGAGAGGAGGGGGAAAATGTAAGAGATGTTAATATAGAATCAACAAGATTGGGGGGAGGGTAATGAAGGGAGGAGTCAAGGAAGACTCTGAGGTTTTGAACACAGATGACTAGAAATATGATGGCACACACACATCAGAAAGATTGAAGTCTGGAAGTGGGGTAGGTTTTGGAGAGTCACAGGATCAAAGACTTAGAACTGGGACCTTAGAGGTCATCTAGTTCAATTTCCTCATTTTGCAGATAAGGAAACTGGGACCCAGAAAGACAAAGTGATTTGCCCAAGGTCACAAAGTGCTGACAGTACTGGTGACTCAAAATCCAACATTTTGTACTATAATGAAGGAACTAATACTAAACTGTACCAACAAAAGTATACTGCACCACCAAAATACTTATTTTTTGAACAAACAGATTACCATTAATAAAATTAACTATCCTGAAATAACATGAAAATGAAGTATACTTAATGTCTTATTTAACATTAGAGCTTTTTTTAGCCCTTAGAAACAAGCTGTATAAATATCTTAGTTTAAAAAGACCAAACTTAAACTATGACCTAAAAAGCACCTATGTAAAAAAAAAAATGGAAACCACAAAGAAAATCTCTAGCTAGAATGGTGAAGAACATTTGACCTTCAGAAAATGATAAACGCAGAAAATGCAAGTCATATTTTTAAATAAAGGAACAAGCAATATCTTGACATCAAACCTCCTAACAAACATTACTGTTTAAATTACTCATAATCTTCAAATAAAATAAAATTAAATGCAAGCTTAATGACTCTGAAAACTTGGAATAAGAAAAAAAGCTAACTTAACCTAGTAAATATGGTCAAGGATTCTATTCAGATACTAGAAAAAATAAGAAAGAAATCAATAATTTTAAGATTGGCAATGTGGTACTTTAAAAAAGAATGTTACAGTGAAATGTTTCGAGTGGGTGAAAATGTCATTTATAATATTTAAACTTCTTTTTTTTTTTACTTACAGTCTTGGGATAATATTTCCAGCGTACTGTACAAGTTCATAGAGATCTGCCACTTTCCTTCCTTTGGCAAATTCATCTGTCAAGTAGACCTCCAAATAGTGCAATTCATCAGAAATAGCCATATCTTTCAACTTATGATTAAGGACTACAAAGAAACTTAGCCCAATCTAAGCACTACTCTGTAGTAATCTTGTTATCATTCAACTTTGGAGGATGAAATTTCCAGTACAGTGTTCTATATCAGTAGCCAAAGAGCATATCAAAATAAAGATACTCTTAATTTTATTAGGTCTTCCTTACTTAAAAGCAAGCTAGCTGTTCACCAAAGGTGTTTGGCCTGCCAGCTAAAATGAAGCAAAGCAGTAGAAAAATGATAGTTAGCTACAGAATATTACTGACAGATACAATCAAGCAAGACTATTGAGTTGAAAAATAAGTTTCATTTAAACATAGATCAAAAGCTCAGAATTTGAGAGTGAGAGGGAAGAGAGGGAAGAAACTATGTATTAGGTTGTTACCCAACAGTTTAACACTGCTCAGCCCCCTTTATAAAAGGTCTGATATATAAGATTAACATTAACCTGCTCTTGAGAGGATTATAAGTATAAAAACAATTACCATAAGACCAAGCTTTTCTTGCCTCCATTTAGCATATCTTCATGGACAAAGACACTGGAAACATAACTGAAATGTAATGGTTAACAAAATGTGGTCATCTTAAAAGGGAATAGTCCTACTGATTTATTCAACAAGTTTTCAAAAGATACAAAGTTCATAGTAGCTCTTTGGTGATAACATAGATGTTCGAAGTTCACCAAGCATGTTAGAGGCATGTTTCAGAGCATCCATAAGCTTGTTTTTATCCTGAATAAAAGGGAAACACAAGAAAAGAAATGATGAGAGTGTTTAATTTCTTAATGGGTATTATTTTGTTACAAAGATTTGCAAGTTTTTAAGCAATGTTATTTTTGAAGTAAATAAATAGTATTTGAAATTAATCACTCAAAAAAATTTTTTTTGGCGAGGCAATGACTTGCCCAGGGTCACACAGCTAGTAAGTATCAAATGGATAAGGCCAGATTTGAACTCAGGTCTTCCTGAATCCAGGGCCAGTGCTCTATCCACTGCACCATCTAGCTGCCCCCTCAGAAATTTTTTTTTAAGTCCTTTACTATGTGCTAAGCCCTTGAGATACAAAGGAAGGTAAAAGTAGTATGTACATATATATATAAATGAAGTAAATACAGATATGTGGAGAGAAATGTGAATTAATGAAGCGTTAGCATCTCTGGGTCAGGAAAATCTCAATTAATTCATATCTTTTGCCTGTAACTAAGAGAGTTGGCAAATGGATAATTCTGAATCAAATACATAAGAATGATCCTATCACAAATTAAGAAAATTCAATCAAGCATGTATTGCACAACTACCATCTGCAAAGTATAATGTTATTTCCTCTTTCTAAGGGGTAAGAAAGTTTCCTTCGAAATGGTCTGAACTACTTTTTAGATGGATACAGAAAATTAGAAACAAGGTGAGTACCAAATGATTGTGGGAATAGCCGAACTGTGGTGCATAAATGTAATGGAATAATGTCCTAAAAAACAAAAAATATGAGAAATTCAGAGAAACAGAGTAATACTTGTGTGAACTAATACATAGCAAATACAGCAGATTTCAAATGACTTCATTACTGTAAATAAAAATAACACAAAAAGGCAGCTAAACTCAAATTTAACACAAAAACCAAAACTGATTCCAGAAGACAAATGAAAAACACTTCTCCCTCTCTGAGGAGAGGAGCAAAAGAAGGAAAAGAGTGAGGATATTAAGATTAAGAAGAAGATTATGATTAAATATGGCATATACAGACAAATCCAGTCATAGTATTGTTTGGTTGGATTCTGTTATTTTTCTTTATTACAAGGGAAAATGCGAGGAGGATACACTGGGAAAAGATTTACAAAAGAAAACAAAAACATCAATAAAACTTTAAAATAAAAAAGTGAATATAAAAGTGAACCATTATGTTTGTTTTTCTATTGTATTCACCTGTTGCCCCTACTGCCTCACTACTCACTCTCTAACCCCTAGCAATTTAGCTTGTGTCTCACAATTCAAATGAAAACAGCTGTTTCCAAAGTCACTAATGACCTCCTTGCCATTAAGGTAAAGGGTCTTCCTCATTCGACCTCTCTGCACCACTTGTTACTGATGATCACACTCCTCCTTCTTTAGGTCCTCTTCTCTCCTCCCTTCTAAAACACTCTCATGGTTCTTTTCCTTTCTCTGACTACATATTCTGCCTGCTTTGCTGGCTCATCCTCCCCCAGACTTTTAAAAGAGGGCGTTTTCCAATACTGAATTCTTGTTTTTCCTTTGTCCTTCTCTATTCTTTCTTTCCAAGGCCTTGATTAACTTGATCATTAATAGCAAGTATTTACATAACATTTGCAAAGCACTCTTCTTGTTATCTCATTTAATCCTTATAACAACACTGTGAAGTAAGCCCTGTTATTATCCCCAATTTACAGTTGAGGAAACTGAGGCTGAGAGAGAGTAAATGACTTACCCAGGATTACATAGTTAATAAATGGCTTGAGGCAGAACTTTAATTCAAGTCTTCCTGAGTCCAAGTCCTGTGCTATCACCCACTGTGCTATCTAGATACCCTTTATCTTCATTCCCATGTCTTCAATTATCCAAGTCTTTATTTCCACCCCCAACATATTATCAATGCACCAGTTCTAAATTTCCAACTGCCTGACTGATGAGGATCCCTGCCTAAATGTCCCACTGGCATCTTAAGACTCACCCTGTCCAAAACTAAATTCATCTTTCCCTCAAAAAACAAAAACAAAAACAAAACCCTGTACCTCCTTTTACCTTTGCTACTTCTCTTGATGAAGTTACCATTCTACCACTGACTCAGGATCATAATCTCAGAGTTATCTTTGATTCTTCCCTTTCTCTCACTCATCAATTATCTCATCTGTTGTCATCAAGTCCTGTTGTTTCTACCTCTATCATATTTCTTATATCTGGCTCTTCCTCTCCACTCCCTCTGTAACTACCCATTCTACTTTGGGCCATCATCTTTTCTTGCCCATGACTAATTTTATTAGCCTCCAAATTGGTCTTTCTGCCTCCATCTTATCTCGGTCTTAGCCATCCATTTATACTGGTATCTAAAATCTAATTCATGTACAAGTCAAGACATCACCCTTGTGAAGTCATTGGTCCTCTTCAAGAACAAAGGACAAACAATAACAACAACACACCACTCACATCATGTCACTCTTATGTTCAAATGTCTTCATTGATTTCCTACTTTCTACTAAATAAAGTATAAATTCCTAACGTATACTGGAACAATTCCAACCTATCTAATAGATTAATCTCTACTACTCCACCTTCACATGTTCTCTGTGCCAGTCAAACTGGACTCTGCTCTAACTCAGGTTTTTGTCTTGCCTTCTCTCATCTCTATGCTTTTGCACATACTGTCAGTCACCTCTCCTCACATCACATTTCTCGTGCATACAGCCTAGGTCTCTCATTTGTAGTTATCACGCCCTCCCTTATTTCTAAATTATCTGTATATGTGTGTATGTGTATGGTTTATGTGTGTATACCTACATACACACATACATATCTTCTCATCCATTCCCCTTCCCATCTCACCCCCACTAGACTCTAAGCTTCCTAGAGGCAGTCTTTATCATATATGTCTTTGTATATCGAGTAGCTAAATATATGGCTTTAGATATAGGTACACAATCAATGTTTATTGAATGGAATTTTTCAAGTCTTACAGTCCAGTCAATTAAAAAGCACAACCTTGCCAATTTTGGCAAATTCTAGTAGGGGAGGGGAAACCAAGGTCTATGTTCTTTGAGCCATCCCACCCCCCAATTTTTAAATACAGAATTAAGTTTTTTCAATGCAAAGCTATTTACACCATGGTCAAGTCAATGAGCATTTTATTAAGCACCTACTATGTGCCAGGCACTCCTAAGTGCTCAAAGAAAGCCCCCCCCCAAAAAAACTCCTGCTCTCAAAGAGCTAGTTCACAGTCTAATGAGAGAAACAACATCATAAACAACATGTACAAACAAGATATATGCAGGATAAATGGGAGATAATCTATAAAGGAAAGTATTAGCATTAAAGGGGATCAGGAGAGGCTCCTGATATAAGGTGGGATTTTAGCTGAGCCTTAAAGGAATCTACGAGGTAGAAATGAGGAGGGAGATAATTCCAAGCATGGGAGAGAGACAGTGAAATTACAGAGCTAGGAGATGGAGAAGAAAGGAACAGCAAGGAAGCCAGGGTCAGTGGATCACAGAGTACGTGGAGGGGACCGAGGTAAAGTAAGAATGGAAGGAAGGGACCAGGTTATGAAAGACTTTAAAAACCAGAGGATACTACATTTTATCTCAGAGGTAACAGAAACCCACTGAAGTGTACTGAGGGCAAGAAGGGTGTCATGGTTAGACCTATGACTTAGGAAGATCAATCTGACAACTAAGTGAAGGATGGACTAAAGGGGGGAGAGATGAGGCAGGAAGACTAAGCAGAAAGTTATTGCTATTAGTCCAGGTGTAAGGTGATAAGGACCTGCACAATAAGACTCGGCAACAGACTGAATATGGAAGATGAGAAAAGTAAGGAACTAAGGACGACACCTAAGTTGCAAGCCTGGATAGGAAGGTTAGAAAGAAGGGAGAGCTTGAGAGGAAAGACAATGAGTTCAGTTTAGACATGTTGATTTTAAGATGTGGGACATTCGATTCAAGATGTCTAATAGGCAGGCGGAGATGTAATTCAGGAGAGGTTTGGGCTAAATAAGTAGATGTAAGAATCATCAGCCTAAAAATAATTGAATCATTGGAGTTGATGAGATCACCAAGCAAAACAGTATAGTGAAAGAAGAGAAAATGACACAAGACAGAGCCCAAAGACACCTAGGATAAGTAGACATGACCTGGATGAAGATCCAGCAAAGAAGACTGAAAAGGAGCAGTCAGGCAAGTATAAGGAGGACCAGAAGAGTAGTGTCACAAAACCTAGGGAGAAGAGAGAATCAAGAAGAAGAGAGTGATCAACACTATCAAAGATGGCAGAGAGGCCAAGAAAGATAAGGATTAAGAAAAGCCATTAGATTTGGTAATTAAAAGATCATTAGTAACTTTGGAGGGAGCAGTTTTAGTATAATAGTAATCTAATATGAAAATTGTAAGCCTCCTTAGTTCAATATAAACACAGAATGAATAAATTAGCAGCATTATGGGGTCATATGACCAACAAGATGGAGGACTAGACATTTTCTCTGATCATCACAACCTCTCAAACCTTTCCAAAACAGAAATTATTTTAAAACACCAAAAGAAACACCAAAGAAAAAGCAATTTCAGCTCTTTCCATGGTCTAAAATACCAAGAATTCAAAGAAGGTAAAAACTTCATTAACTAACACCTAACTTGAAATTACTCAGCACCCCTCTCCCACCACTCACCATGCTCCAAAAAACAAGGATGCACAAGCAATCTGATGCCTTGACTGTGCCAAGGAGATCCAAACTCCAAAATGAAAAAATCTGCGGAGGCCACAGCAGCCAGCACCATGGCTGCTAAAATGAGCTCTGGAGGAGAGAAAAGGAACAGAGGGAACAGAACATGTGGCAGGACATTGTGTATGAGGATTGTGTGGCATTCCACTGAGCTTGAAAGAGCCTAGAATCCAGCTGGGACCCGTTCTGTCCTCCCCACCCAGTCACCTGAAGCAAAGAAGTGGTGAAACATAAATTACCTAGCAGAGGAAGAGGCTCATATGCTTGGAAAATCAACCCCCAGATAAACCACCATCATAAGGGAGAAGTCAGAAAGTGAGCAACAGGGGAAAATAAGGAGAAAAAAGACAAGTTACCCCAGATCTCAGGAGGAAAAAAACTCAAAGACCTTGAACATAAGCAGTAAATAGCACAGGGAAAAGATAAACAGCAAAAGGAAAAAGTTTCCAAATCTAGTAAATGAGCGGCATCTATAAATAAATACTATAAAACAAAGGAAAACTATTTAACACCTAATGAAACAAAGGACTGAGTTTTGGGGAGAGCATGGAACCACAACACACTGTTACTAAGCAGTTTTAAAAAGAGATAAGAAATGTGAGAGCAGAATTTTTGGCCTGCACAGCAGAAACAATTGTCAGAATAGAACTAGAATTCATGGTGGCAAGTCTCATCAAAGAAACAAAGGCAAGGACAACTGATTGGGAATGTAAATACACAAAATTAAAGACAATCTGGAAAAAAAGAGGCAAAAAGCAGTAACATTAAAAGATAACATTCTCTCTATGCAAGCAAAACATATTGAGAATGTATACAGACAACAGAAGAACACAAGTCAAAAAATCTAAACACCATAATGGAAGAAATATATGGAGAAAAAAAAACAAAAACCTAAGGGCCAATCAAAGGAATACACAGTTCTCCAGAAAAAAGCTCAAGGCTGCAAATTCCAAGACACTTAGTGGTAAAATTTAACAATTCCACTAAGAAACAAGAAGAAAAACAACAAATTTTGCAATTAACCAGGAAAAGATCTGCATATTAACGGAAAGGAATTTCCAATCATGTAATCTGCACTCACCAGAAAATAAAGGAGAGAATGGAATAAAACAATGGAGCTCAAGATGCAGCCCATTGTGACCTACCCTGCAAATCATAAATTAACCATAAATGAAAAAAGATGAACATTTAATAATAAAAGGGAATTCAAAGCATTCTCAGAAAGAAAATCAGACCTAAAGAAAAATTATTTGTTTCTCAAACATCCCAAAAGACAGAAATATATGAAAAGTAAATGAATATAGCGACAAAGGATGGCAACAACAAAATAACAACAGATAAACCATTAAAAGATTTCTTCCTAAACATATACAAGGAGACAGGGTAAAAGCTTAAGTCAAATAGAAGTGATGGTAGAGAAACAGGCTTGAAATATAACAGACTAAGCCTCACAACACCCCCAAATGAATCAATGTTGTTGTTTATTTTAGGGCGAAGGAGAAGGGTTGGCTTTTTTTGGTGGGACTAAATTACAAAATGGGAGGGTTGATAAAAAGGAGGAGGGAAGAAAGAAGATAAGGGGAAATGTGACGTATCCTAATCAAGTTAAAGGCTACCAACAAAGGGAAAGTAACTCCTGTTGTCTTTCAGGAAGAGAGTCTACAGGAGAAAGGTGAGAAAAAAAAGGGAGGGATTAAAAAAGTGGGATGTGGCAATGATGGGAAAGGGTACCAATGATGAATGCTCCCTTGGGTGAAGAGATTTTCTATAAAGGGAGATGGAAACCTTACAATGGGTATTATCTGCAAGGATTTTGTGCTTAGAAAGATCACTCATCCTACCTTAGGGGAAGGGGAATCACAGCTTCTGGCAAATCGATACCCAAAAGAGTAGGAAGGCATGGACCCAGGAAAAAGATTTTGAGGGAAATGCAGGGGAAAATGACCAAGGGAAAAGTAAAGGTCTAAAAGTGAGGCACAATAAAAAAAAGTGGGAGGCAGGGCCAAGGGGCAAGTTCTATAAGGCAATAACAGAAACTGTTAGCAAGAAGAATGCAAAATAAATACCTCAAAAGTTTTAAATCCATGAAGAATACAGAAAATAAAGAAGGATTAATTATTACTTAAAACCAAAGGATAAAAGTCTAGACTAGACAGAAAGAGAAGATAAATAATGAAGAGAGTGAAGGAAAGAAATCTTTTCTAAAATTAGCAACATTACATAGGAGATGCTAGAAACAAGATTTTTCTGCTGAAGCAAAAGACAGAGGAAAGCACCAACATTCTGACACTTCAACCTATAATGGACACATGACACCTCACTGCTGTGGGCATTCCTTCCATTGTGCAAATCACAACCCATACATCCTTTCTTATCCTGTGTGATTCTTGTCTATATTCTCCCACAGATACTCCAAAAAGGATCTACTCAAAATACTGAAAGCCTTCCTATAGGTCACCCTACATTTCATCGGCAGTAGTCCAAACGTGGGCCATCCCTCTGTTATGTCTCACTCTGGGTATGATTTGCACTCCCTTTCTAATCATACGTTTCTTGGATAATCTCCCCTATGCCATTTAGGATCATAGACCTAAGAGCTGGAAGGGGCCCTCAAGAAGCAGTCTAGTCCAGTCTTTTCACTTTACAGATGAGGAAATGAAGACCAGGAAGGTTGTGACTTGGTTGCTCAGGCAGTAACCGCTGAAGCTAGAATGTGACCCTATGTCCTCTGACTCCACAGTCAGTATTCTACTACATCAACACTTCTTGCATTTAACTATTTTAACACCAAGAAAACAAGAAAAATAAATGAATTAGCCCCACATTGGGGGGGGGGAAGAAATTTGTCAAAAAGAGTAAATGTTTACTTTTCAGTCATTAAGAATCTGAAATCAAATGACTCTATAGCTTCTACAGTAATTACCTTTTCCAGTCAACTCTTTAGCTATGAAAATAAAAATGTTAGTATAAACATGCCACATAAAACCTACATGACTTTGTCAAGTCAGGTAAACTTCCTGGGCTTAACCTTCCTTATCTGCAAAAAATAAGTACTAGATTACCTAAGTTTCCTTCTTGTTCTAAATTTATGATCTCTTTCCCAAGCAGTTTCCTCAATAAAGATGATTAAACATAACTGAGGGAAGAATAAAAATGCTCTTTGAATGTATTCAACAACAAAAACCACATTGCACAATTCATAAACAGCTAAAATACGTAATAATGGAAAAGATAGATTGGCACCCAAAATTTAAAACAGGACGCATGTTTTTTTCAAAGACAAATATAATGTGAAGAATCACATCCTCCTAAAAAAGATATAAATGTTATGTATATCACATAACCCTTTCTATAGTGTAAGATCTGCCTATCTTACACTATATCCATTTGCTTGTATCACCAATGACTGTTTGAAGTTGTAAGCTTCTACAGGACAGTGGCACAGCCTATTTAAATAGTTCTAAGTAGTGCTTTTCAAAGTGAACATTTAAAATGCAAACTTTCTTTGTCCTCCTGCCTTTTGGCAAAAAGGTGATGGATTAGAGGTATGAAATGCAATAGCTATTTTTTTTTTCAGAAAGGCCAATGTGCTGATTTGTTTTGCTTGACTATTCTTATTAATTACATGGGGATAAAGGGATGACTTGGCAATAAAGGTGCAAAAGAAATAAAAGACTATCAATAACATATCTTAAAAACACATGGCAATGTTGTTACTACCTTGTTAGTGAATATACACTTACAAAAACTGTAAGCCTTCATAGATTAAAATACAATCCTTTTTTTGCTTATTCTATGTCAAAATGTTTACTAATAACTAAGTTCATAACAATAAAATTTTATTTAAAAAAAAAGATTTTTGATGACAAAGATAAGATTCCCTTGAAACAGTAATGTGACCAGCATTATATCTGATATTAGTGAGTTACAGTCTCTCCCACATCATTCTTACCAGGCATCGTTTCATCTGGAATGACTGAACCTTCACAGCCTGAATAGCTTCATCGAGGAGCTTTTCCTGCTCATCCTGCGGTGACTGCTGTGTTGTAGGCTGAAAAAAGGAAAACAATTGAAAATTTTACCACCACTCTTTCCCTGCCAAATATATGTCACTATACTTTTTAGCCACAGCACCTTATCTAGGTTCCTCTTAGGCCCATTCTACCACCCAGAACCAATCACCTCTGCTTTTCTGCTTATAAACCCCTGAACAGAAAGCTACCTCCATATTCACATAGTAGGCTAATGACCTAAGGTTGCTAAGGAACAGCAGTCACATCTACAATAAATGCTTCTGCTTCTGAAGCTGACTCCACATCTCTGCAGCAGATTGCTCTCAAAGAAGCGTGTGCTGCTGGTTTCAGGATGCTTGCATTCTGCCAACACATTATGAATCACCATGGGCACAGCCACTCTACCAATACAGTTCCTTCCTCAGGTATTGTCCAGGATAAGTTGCAGACAGCATCATTTCCTCCTATCACAGGGTCTTTTTTTCATCCAAGTTTATTCTGTCCTGAGAATCATGGATCTAGTAACTAAATTGCGCAAGTACTGTCCCTTTCCTTACGCAATATATAAGAAAGGAAGAGAAAGGGGGCACTAGGTGGCACTGTGGATACAGCTCCCACCTTGGAATCAGAAGGACCTGAGTTCAAATCCATCTGGCCTCAGACACTTGACACTTACTAGCTGTGTGACCCTGGGCAAATCACTTAACCCCACTGCCTCACCAAAAAAAAAGGGGGGGGGGGAACATTAGATAAACAAGATTTTAAAATATTATATAATATGGTTCAACTGATCCTATGATACCTCTAATATTAAATAAAGTTGACAATTTTAGAATTGTAATTACTTTTAATTACTATGGAATGCTATAGAGAGAAACATAAGTGAAAAGAATATTGAATTTTGGTCCAGGTCCTTGACTCTACCACTTAAAAGTTGTATAACTATAAGCAAGTCGGTTTCTCTGACCCTCAATTTCCTCATCTGTAAAACAGATGAAAATAATGCTCACACTACTTATCAACAGAATTATTGTGAGTAAATCACTTAGTAAGCATCAAGGTGCTATAGAAATCAAAACATTGTATTTTCTAAAGTATTTAAGACTGCATAATAAAGAATTATAATATTGCAAAGTTAACTACAAGGCAGATATTTTTGCTTATTTGGTAATGTGATATAGTATAAACGACCCTGAATTTGGAGTCAAAGGTCCTTTGTTACAATCTCAGCTCTGCTACTTCCCTGGATTATGCCGGGCAACTTACCACTTCCCAACCTCAGTTTCCTCATCTGTAAAATTAGAGGGTCAGACTAAATAAGGATGCTATTATTACTTTCACCAATGGGCTATTTTGACATTAATCTTTGATTTATAATGACCTAGTCTTTACGGTCAAAAATTACATAGTGTTTATGCATACAGTCTGTGTCTCTAAGTAGTATAAAATGCTAAAACTTTAAAATGCTAAAATTTTAAAATAATTTTTAAAAATGCTTTATGACAAATTTTCCAGTGGTATAAAATAGCATTGCTTTTTACAATTAAGAGAGAACAAGAGCTCATGAATGAACATAAAATGTATTAGCTAAGACTACCAAAATCAATCAATTTTGAGGCCACAGTGAAGGAAATACGCAATCTAAAATCCAATTTAGCATCAGATTCTGATTTTCTCAAGAATGTCATATTTGTCAAAGTGACCTAAAGAATACCCATGGGCAGTAAAATGCTATTATCATTTTAAAAGTTTTTTCCAAGCGGTTTTCCCAAGTCTTATGCCAGTTCATAATTTTCCTTAAGAAGAAAAATATTATCAAGTTAAATAGCCAATTTAAAATTTTATCTTTTGAGTCTGGAAGTTGTCCACAATTGTGATTTTTAAAACAAAACAGCAGTAAAGCTTCCTAACAGCTACTGTCATCCAAAGGTAGAATGGATTGCCACAGGAGGTAGTGGTTTGCCATCTCCCAGGAGGTCAAACAAAGGCAATGTTTACTTGTCAGGTATGTGGACTAGAGACCAGATGACTTGTAAGGTTCCTTCCAACTCTGATCTGATGAAGGGAGAAAGTTTCTCTCACACTAATGTTGGGGGCAGAGCACAAAGAATGTAGCATAATAAAATTTTTAAAAATTCAAAAAAAAGAATGTAGCATAATAATGCTAGGTAGTACCAGAAATTCAACTCCATTTCATTTCAGACAATCCCTAGTAAATAACTTATTTGTTACCTAAGACACTTGTACACACAAAATCAATGAAAGTAAAATGTCTTTACACTTAACTTACAGAGACCATAATGTTATTAGAGTCCTCATACTATGTAAAGATAGCTTTAAGGGAAAAGGATAATAGTAGTTTTAAAACTTTCGATGTTATAAGATTATTTACACTTACCACATAAATAAGACACATTACCTTAACTGTAGGTAACTGAGATGATGACAAAGGAACAAACTTGTAGGCATTTTACTATATTTCATTTTAGTGGCATTCTGTTTTTCATCCACTTGACTTTTACTGGATGGATAGATTACTAGGTCAATTTCCTCAATAACGCTGGACTTTACAGAGGAAGCTCTGTATAGCAGGGTTCAATATAATAAGCACAATGCCATTCGCAAACAAAAGCATCTGCAGGACCTCAATCATCTATACAGAATCCCTATTCCATTCGATGTGAGGCAAAACACCCTCCACAATCCTGTCAAACACCTTCAGCTAGCATATTTCCCTGTTTTATGTCTCATTTGATGCTCAGAGGATCTGTAGCCATATATGTGTTAAGAAATTTAGTACAGTTTTAACACGTATATTACAAACAACTTACTGAAGAATAACCTGGAAGGATGTCTTTTGCTCCTCCCTACAAGTCAATTGCATTAAAAAAAGAAACAGTAGGATTTTCTATTCTCTACACCACTCAAATCTATTATAACAAGTAGTACAGAACATGGATTACTAATTATTAAAGTTATTGAACAGAAATCATTATAATGTGAAGTTTTGCTATAACTGAAATTCTGTTGTAACAAAAATCATGTCATCTTTTTTAAGGCTTTTAAAAATCTCTTTTGTAGCCAACCACCCAGGACAAAAAACAAATAAAACTTCTCAGTAAAACAACAATAAATGAGAATCAAAGGCAATTTAACACGGATCATATTTACAAAGATTATAAACCTTGTGCCCTTTTCCCAATACAAAACCAATTAAAGATTTTTTTCCATTGTTCCTCAGATGCTACTCTCTAACCAAAGCTCTCCCTGAAATATTAATATCTAATTAATTTGAAAAGGTATATATAGAATAAGGTACAAAACAAAGGCTTCAGTAAATAACAGACGATCACCAATGACATGGAAAAATCATGCCGCTGATATTCAGGGGCAGAAAAAAATCATTAAAAGGCAGCCTTACAGAACTGACAATCCAAGAAAAAGTTTCTTACACCCTGCCAAAAAAAGATTGTAATTTCCTAAGTATCTCTTAGTTATCACTCCTCCAACATATCCTTAGCCCTTCTGTTTATAAGTTTCTCTAGATACTTCTTAGGTACTTATCACTCTAAATATCTACAAATTTAATTTAATAAAACTGCTGCATGCTACTTTACAAAACAAACTGATTCCTTCAAATAGATCTACTAAGAGCAGCAGGTACAATAGTTAGTGCTGGGCTTACTTAAATCCTAAGGAGATATCTGAGGCATACAGAGTTATCTAAGTTACAACAAAGGCAATTTGCAATGATGGATTAAGTTCTCACAACAAAAGCTCCTAATTCCGACAAAATCAGTTTCCCCATATTTGTAAATTTTAGATATAAAGAATAGGTTTCTCTGCAATATCCTGTAATAGTAATGTTATAATACAATTTTAATTGATATCATAGATGCACTTTCTAACATAACTTAGTTCCCAAGAAAATGGGTTCAACATTGAGAAAATAAAATCACAATAATGTTTATGCTGAAAAGAAAACATCTACTCTAACCTCATTTTACAAATGAGAAAGCTGAGAAGCATAAAAATCAAGGGACTTCTCCAAGGTCACAGAGCTGGTTAGTAGCAGGGCCAGGGAGGCAGCTCCAGAACCCAGGCTTCCTGACTCCCAGTTCAATGATCTTTCCTCTATGCCACACTGCCTGTCTGCCAGAAGTCATGTCAATAAAAGTCCATCAGAAATTGAAAAACACCAGTAAAGTCCCATATCAGTCACTTACTTTAGGTCAGCACCACGCTAAGCCCTAGGGATACAAAGAAAGGCGCAAAAAAAAAAAAGTCTCTGCCCTCAAGGAATTTACATTTTAAAGGGGTAAACAACATGCAAACAACAATGTACATAAAAGGTACATAAAGAGCAGATGGAAGCTATCTCTTGAGAGTAGGAATGGGGAAGAGGGGGAACATGCAAATATTTTAATCAATTTAGTCAAAATGAATGTACATTACAACAGCTAGTTGTTGCTGTGCATAGAGCACTGGGTGTGGAATCAGGAACACATCTTTACGAGTTGAAAAGTGGCCTCAGATATTTACTAGTTCTGTGACCCTGGGCAAGTCACTTCACCCTGTTTGCCTCAGTTCCTCATCTGTAAAATGGCAAACCACTCTTGTATCTCTGCCAAGAAAACCCTAAAATGCGGTCATAGACAGCTGGACACTGATAACATGTCAAGTTTAATTCTATGTTGAGGTGAAATGTTTTACAAAGTTAACAACTAGAAGAAAGCATAATTTCAGATACAATGAATCCCCCTAAGGTAGATAATTAGGTCATTTCGACTAACAGAAACATTAGAAGATACTTTTTCATAGAACATAATCAAAAGACAAAAGGGGCAGCTAGGTGGAGCAGTGAATAGAGAACCGGCCCTGGAGTCAGGAAAACCTGAGTTCAAATACGACCTCTCAGACACAACACTTACTAGCTGTGTGACCCTGGGCAAGTCACTTAACCCCAACTGCCTCACCAAGAAAATAAAAAAAAGACAAGTCAAGCTCTAAGAAGACTAGGAAGTGTCTGATGGATTGTTTTAAAGTTAAAGTTTACTTATCACCAGTTCCACCATGATTTGCTACTGTAACTAAGGTTGGTTAAGTGGAATAAGTTGGTTTTGGATCACAAACAATAATAAAATCATCAGTTGGATCACAAACAATAATAAAACATTTATTAAGCAATTATTTGTGTTCATAAGCATTGTGCTAGGCATTACAGAGGTACAAAGTCCCACCCTATTCATAGAGATAATCTAAAAGAAAGCTAGGTGGTGTCCTAGGTGGTGTCCATGTTTTGGTGTAAACATCAGCATACATTAAAGAACTTTAAAACACAGCGCTATAAAACCTCTAGAAGAAAGTGATATCTAAGTTCCACTGTAAAGGATGGGTAAAATTCAACAGGTAAAAAGACTGTGAGAGCATTCCACACACGACAAACAGGTTGAGCAAAGCAATAGTGTTCACAGAACACCGAGCTCGCTGCAGGACAAAGAGAAGCAATTTCGAGGTGGGGATTAGGAGTAGAAGGAATGCATGAAAGGGAACTGGAAATAAGGTTGGAAACTCTACCTTTGTGTTACAAAGAGCCTTGAATGCCTGGCAGAGTTGTCTGAGCCTAATGCAGAAGGTAATAAGGAGTCACAAGCAACTAAAAGGTTTGCATTTTATTTTACTTAGATGTGGGGTAGGGAGAGTTAGAGAATGGTTGGTCTGGTTAAAATAAGGAAACAAGAGGACCTCTTTTCGGCTCATGAATTGAAGTGGAAGCGACACGGCCACGGCCGAGGTACACCAAAGCCCGTGGCTCATTGACATAAGGCCACGACCGATTTTCGACGAGGGGCGGGCTCTCGGTTGACATCAGGACAGGTGTGACAGATGAACGTGGCGGGACCGGCCCAGGCAAGGGCACTGAGCCTTTTATTCATCTCCGACCCGCAGAAAGCAAAATCAGGACGGCCGAGATTGTGTAGGGCACAAAGGGCGGACGAGGGCTGGAGCTCGAGAAAAGGACGTGTGGGTCTGCGGCCCCGGCGCTTCCCTTTGGCCGCAGGACCGCGGACGGTCCGCGACCCTGCCCGGCGGTGGGGCAGTCGGCTCCTCCTGCAGCGGCGTAAGGACAGAAGCGGCCCCCGGCCTCGCGGCCGTCCGTCACTCCTGCCCCCTCGATGCCGCAGTTCCACGCGAGGCAGGCGGCTGCCCACCCGGGAGGGGCCGCGGTGACCCGGGACCCCACGCCCCCTCCCTCCCGGGAAGCGGCCCCGCCTGAGGCCTTCGCTTGGCCGCCCCCGGCCCCAGGCCGACCCAGCCCTGGCGATTTCAGCCCACCCCATCACCGTCCCGTCGGGCCCCCAGAGGCCGGACACGGCCGGACTACAGGCAAGGAAGGAATGAAAGGAAAGACTGGTTCTAGGGGTGCCCGCTGCCCCCTCAACACTCACCATGGCGACTGCCCGGAGCCTGCAGCAAACAGCACCAGCCCCGCGTCGAGCCCCGCGTCGAGCCCCGCACCGTCATGTGACTCTGCGGCCCCACGAGGCCCCGCCTTTCAACTTCCCCGCGCTCCACCCCTCCACACCCTCAGGCCGCCCCTCCATTGGCCCACGCCCAGGAACTGGGGTCGCATTCTCCCATTGGTCTTCATCGCCCAAAGAACGTGCTAAAGGAAGAGAACAGAACCAATCGCTCTGCCAGGAGCCAGGGAGGGGGCGGGGCCTTGGTGTGCCGTGGGAGGAGAGACGCAGGGAGGCACCTGAATAGTGGGAAGTACTAGTCGGCTTCAGGGACAGCGAATCATCTGACTCGCCCTGGAAGACGGAGCGTAGGGCAGGAAGGAAGACACGGAAAAGGTGGGCTAGATCCTACTGCAGCTTAGCGCACACCCGTCCCTCGCGAGTACCTCCGATACGCAAGCGCAGACGGAGGATGCGGGTTGGCTCGTGCGGAAAAGCAGCCCTGCTTTCGGAGCCAATGCTGTGGCGCCAGGGGGGTCGGGCGCGGGTCTCATTGGCGGGCGAGCCGCAGGGTGCACGCCTTTCGTCCTTCTGCCGGGAGGTTCGCGGGCTGCCCCTGTCAGCCGTGCGCCATGGAGCCCGGGCCCATCGCGCGTTTCGGACCTCGACTGGGCATCACGGACCCCTCTGTCCTGAGGTGAGTAGCGGGGCCAGGCGCCCCGGAGCCCGGTGGGCTCCTCGAGAAGATCCCGAAGCACGCGGGGCCGGCTTTGTGGAGAGGCCGCTGCGCTCCCCCAAGTTCCTTGGAGAAGCCCGGGCGGAGACGCCAAGGAAACGATTAATCGTAATCGGGAGTAATTGTCATTGCTTTTAGTTTTAATCCGATCTGTGTTGTCATTAGGGGCAGCTAGGGGGTGCGGTGGACTTAGCGTGAGGCCTGGAGTCTGGAGGACCTGAGTTCAAAGTCAACCTCAGACACCAGCCGTGAGACCCCCCTGGGCAAGTCACTTAACTCTTTTGCCTCGGTTTCCTCATCTATAAAATGAGCTGGAGAAGAAAATGGCAAACCACTCCAGCATCTCTGCCAAGAAAACCCCAAATCGTGTCTCGAAGAGCCCGACATGACTGAACTGATCAAACAAACAAACAAAAAACATGTCATTGGTATCGGGGTCTTTGGTGGGAGTCACTTCCTCTATGGAAGTCTTCTCTGCCACTTCTAGTCTTCGAGGGTCGGTTGGGGTACTGAGAATAAGTGACCTGCACAGGATCACACAGCCAGAGAGGTTAAGTGACTTGCCTAGAGTCATACAGCCAGTATGTGTCAGAGGTGGCACTTGAACTCAGGTCAGATTCCCAGATCGCCTCTCTGCCCACACTAAACCTAGTCGCCTCTAATTGTTCTTACTTAATTATTCAGATTTCAGGAAGAAATTTGTAGCTTAGAAGGCCTATGAGGAAAGAAAAAATGCTTTCAAGAGCTAGAAAGGAACCCATGAGGACCTTAGTTTCCTAATCTCTAAAGTGAGATGACTCGCCTAGATGACATAATTTATAGCTGAAAGAGCCATCTCCAGATGGCCCTTAAGAGGCCGTCTGCTCTAACTTCTGCTTTTTACAAGTGAAGAAACTTAAGTCCCACAGAGTTTGTTTGCCAGGATCATACCTAGAAAGGTGGAATTTGAACTCAAGTCCTCCAACTCTAGAGCTCTCCATTACACCATGCTTCCTCCAGTATTCTCCAAGGTCCCTCCTGTTTCTTAATTTATTATGCTAGTATATAAGAACCTTGTCCAGAGGAAGATGGCCAGGATGGGGAAAAAGGGGGAGCATCAACAGGAAATCAAGAAAGAAAAAAGGTTTCAGCAAAAGGAACCAACATATTAGAAAGGTTCAACATTGTCTGTAGTGGTCTATACTCAGGGTCCTCTGCCAGGAAGTGGGAGGTGACTTCTCATATCTCTTTAGTGCCATGCTAGGTCATTGTAATTGTCTTTCTTTTCATTTTACACTAGGTGACAATGTGATGGGGTAGCCAAAAAAGTTGCCACATTTTAAGCTACATAAAAAGGATGTCTAGAATGATGGCAATGGTATTGTGCTATCAGAACACATCTGAAGTATTGATTTCTTTAAAAAAGATATTTGACAAACTGAAGATGCATCACAGGATGGTGATGGGACTGGAGACTGGCCTGTAATGGGGAGCAGTTGAAGGGACTAGGAACATTAAACCTGGAAAAGAGACTTGAGGGAAATCTAATAGCTGCCTATAAATATTTATTGTCTGTCATGTGGAAATGTGATTGGTTTTGTTCTGTGTAGCCCTAGAGGAAGAACTAAGGATGCTGTATGCAAGATATAGCATGGCAGATTTTTCCCTGAGGAGATATTTCCTTATATTTAGAGCTCTCCCTAAGTGGAATGGGATTGGGGAGGCTTCCCTTGAAAGTCTTTTAGGGGAAAGAGAAGATAGATAACCATTTGTCAAGAGTCCTGAAGATATTCTTGCATCAGTGACTTGCTTGTAACAAAATATTAATAAATATTCATTGTACTTAAAGAAGAGAACTTAGATTCTTTAGCCCACTCACCCTACCCACCCCACCATAATTTTACAAATGGAGAAACTAGGTTACAGAAGAAGTGGTTTGCCCAAAGTTATTCAGATCCATTGCTAGAACCCAGTCTTCTTTTTCAATACTTCACTCCCTCCTATGTCTAAAAGCACTTGAGAATCCCAAGAAGCCAAAGATGCATCAGATGAATCTGACTCAAAGCACAATCATATAACTGTAGGCAACTTACTTTACTTTTGAGTCTCAATTTCCTCTTCTGTGAAAAAAAAAAAAGAGTAAAAACTGCCCTTAGTACTCTCCAGATTATTGTGAGGAAGTTATTGTATAAACTATAAAGCACTGTGTAAGTGTGAGCTATCAGATGATGATGACGATGATGACACTTTGAAGGACTCTGAAGGATTCTGTGACTTTAGCTTGAAGGCAGAGTAGAACCATGGTGAAATCTATTTACTTATCTTCTATCTCCTGTATTAAGAAATGTCACTAGCTGCTTACACAGAAAATACTTTATAAATTTATTATTGTTAATATAGGAAAGCTGAAGAGTACTTGCGACTGTCCCAAGTAAAGTGTACTGGATTGTCTGCTCATACAACAGAAACAAGTAATACAATCATGTGTCTGGACCTTGCTGCCACCAGTATGAGATGGCCTTTAGACAGAGTAAGTGGGTCCCTTTCACTGTGATGATGATGCCTTTTCCACTTATTTCTCTCTTGTTCTTAAATTAACTAAGAGTATAAGTTATTTAAACCATAGTTATTTGATTATGTCTTTTCTGTCTCTACGAGAACATACAATTCCGTAGAAGCAAGGATTGTGTCTTATTTCTCTTTCTCCCAGTGTCTAACAGTGCATTGCACATAAATGGTGTTTAATAAATGTTTGAAAACAAAGGAGAGAAGTTCATTTTCTCATTCCTGAGACCAAGCTTGGCCATAAATTATATAGCTTTCATTTTTATGTTGTTGTTGTTGTTGTTCTTTCTATTTACATTATTATAATCATATTATTTTCCTGATTCTGCTTGCTTTATTCTGCATAAGTTCCTATAAATCTTCAGATGTTTCTCAGGATTCTTTATATTTTTCATTTCTTATGGTACAGTATTATTCCATTATATTCATGTACCATAGTTTATTTACCTATTACCAGTTTTTTGCTACCATAAAAGGTACTGTTACGAATATTTTAACATTTCTTTTTGTCTTTAATTTTCTCTGGGCACATGCCTTCTAGTAGGATCTCTGTGTAAAATGACATGGATATCTTTTTAAATATTTTTTAAATAAATTTTTAAAATATTATCTTTATTTTCACATTGTTTTCGTATTACTTAACATTTTCCACTCTATCCCTCCCCAACATCTCCCTATTTAAAAAAAAAAAGGAATGAAGGGAAGAAAAAAGGTTCAGCAAAACTAACCAACATATCAGAAAGATCTAACATTATATGCAGTTCTGTTACTCGGGATCCCCTACCTCTGCTAAGAAGTGGGCATAGGTGTCTTCTCATATCTTCTGTGGTGCTATGTTTGGTCATTATAATTGTTTAGATCGTTTGGTTCTTTTTCTCTCTATTTACATTGTTGTAGTCATTGTTTATATTGTTTTCCTGGTTCTGCTTACTTCACTTTCATATTCATCATATTTCTTATACAGCACAGTAATATTCCATGACATTCATATACAGTATTTATTTATCCATATTCCAAGCAGTGAGCATCTGCTTTTTTTTTTTTCATTCTTTGCTTATAAACATTTTGATGCATGTTGGGTCTTTGTTTTTGATATTGACCTCCCTGAAGTATCTGTCCGGAAGTGGAATCTCTGGGGTAAAGATAGGGACATTTTAATCACTTTCTTAGTATATTTTCAAATTGCTTTACACATTACATCAAGAGCATTTTATTGGGTTTGCTGACAACCTCCTTCAACATTGACTATGCCCTTCTTTTGTCTTTGCAAATTTGCTGGGTGTGGGGTGCACAACAGTTTTTGAAAACAGTTGTTTTCATCCTCATTTCTCTTATTAATGACTTGAAGCTATATTTCTTTTTTTAAAATTAATTTACTTTGATTTATCAACAATCATTTCCATAAGCTTTTGAGTTTTTAATTTTTCTCTCCTTCTCCACCTCCTTCCCCAAGACAGTGCGCAATCTGATATAGGAAGCTATATTTCTTATGGGTAAAAGTAGGAAGATAGATCAGTAGAACAGACTAGATAAGGAAGAATCAAAAATAATTAAATTCAGTAACCCAGTGTTTATAATTCTTCAGAAATTTGTTCATACCCTTTGACCACTTATCCATTGAGGAATGACTTTGGGTCTTAAATATTTGTGTTAATACCCTGTATTCCTTGGTCATCCAGAGAAATTGATACGGTGTTTTTCCCCTAATTATAGTTATATTCATTTTGGTTGTGCAAAAGTTCTTCAGGGGCAGCTAGGTGGCATAGTAGATAGAGTACCAGCCTGGGAGTCAGGAAGACCTGAGTTCAAATTAGGCCTCAGGCACATGATACTTAACTAGCTGTGTGACCCTAGGCAAGTCACTTAACCCCAATTGCCTTACCAAAAAAAAGTTCTTCAGCTTCATGTCATCCAATTTTTTATTTCATCTTTTGTGATTACCTCCCGTCACATGTTAAGAACTCTCCCCCAGCCATAAATCTGGCCTTTAATACCAGATTTCAGCACATAATCGTTGCGCTCTGGTGTATATGTATTCTCTCTCTCTCTCTCTCTCTCTCTTTCCTGCCCCCCACACCCCAGTCCAAAACTTGTTTTATAACCTTTGATGGCATGGTATAATTCTGTTCATCAAGCTGCTTAAAAGGTAAATAGAGCAGTAGTGTATTCACCAGTGTCTTATGGATACACATTTATCTCTGGCACATTGCGAGCCACATGTCGGTGTATTTCTGAAAGCTGATTTGCGTGGTCTGTTTAGAGCGCTGTAGTATTAACAGTATTGTCACTCAACCCAATGAAGAGCTGTGAACAGGCAGGCAGGTGAAGCTGCCATGAGTAAATCATGTGATATGGTAAGACTTGCATCTTCCCACGCTAGCTAAACTACAGTTTCTCGCCAGTGATACAGTTTAGTAAATGATTTTTAAGTAATACCAGCACAATTTAAAAAAAAAAGCTTCACATAATGGTTGCACCCCATTTCTTTGCAAAAAAAAAAAATTAGCATACAGCCTGCAGCAATTATGCAGTGAAATACAGTATTCGGGTCAAGTATCCATTCTGATCTTATAATGGAATATCGTATAAGATTATTAGTCTAAACTTAATTTCTGACAAATTGTTTTCAGTTTTCCTACCACTTCTTGTCAAATAGGGAGCTTTTGCACAAAATTTACATTTTCAATTTATAGAAGACTGCATTACAAAGTTTGTTTCTGATTGTTGCTTATCTAATCTGTTCCATTGATCAACTTTTCTATTTTTTAACCAATACCAAATAGTTTTGATGGATACTGCTATATAGTATGATTAGGAATGTTGGAAATACTATTCTCCCTTCATTCCTTTTTTTCATTATTTCTCATGAAAGTCTAGATCTTTTCTTCCAAATCAATCTTTTTTTAAAGCTGTATAAAGTATTACCTTGAGAGACTAGTATAATGCTAAACTTATTAATTAATGTAGTATTGTCATTTTTATTATATTGATGTACTCTAATCAGAAACAATGAATATCCTTCCAATTGTTATATAATTCTTTATTTCTTTAAAGTGTTTGATAATTATATTTATATAAAATTTTAGTGTGCATTGGTAAATTGACTCCCAATTTTGTAGTTATTACCCTTTCTATCATTTGCTTTTGCATTTTGTTATTGCTATAAAGAAATGTCATTAGTTTTTGTAAGCACTATTGCTACTGTCACAATTTCTTTGCCTACTTTCTGAGATTTTCTAAATAAGCCATCATGCCATCAGCAAATGGGGACAATTTTATCTCCTCTTTGCTTTTGTCATTGCATTAAAATTTCTTCTTGTCTTAATGCCAGCATTTCTAGAACTGAAAAATAGCTATGGGGAAACAGAGCATCCATGCTTCTTATGTTTATTGAGAAAGGCATTAGTGTTTCCTCGTTGCAGAAAATGTTAACTTTTGTTTTTAAATATTTTAAATCATATTTTAAAGTTGTCCTATGTCTCTGCATTGTCTGGTTTTTAACAAAAATGTGTGTTATACTTTGTAATGGCTTTTTCTGCACCTATTGACATAATCATGTTCATGTTTTCTTTTTGGAAGACTTACTTAGTTAAACTTTCTGGTTTGAACAAGAAGATGTATCAAAGCTGTCTTAAGTCTTTTGAGTGTTTGCTGGGCTTGAATTCAAATCTTGGAATAAAAGACTTAGCAGTACAATTTAACTGCGTGGAGGCAGTAAACATTGCTTCAAAGATCCTACAGAGGTATGGAGAATAAAGAATCATGTGGTTGAAAACTTGATGTTTTACAAATTAGAACTTTTAATTTGAAAAAATATCTACCTTTATTAAGTAAAATTTTGGCCTATAGAAATAATTGGTACACTTAAAACTGACACATGCTTATTGTCAAGGTTTAGTGATGATGATTTAACACTTTTACATTATGCCTTAGAAATCATGCTTATACTATTTAGTATTTATCACTTTAGAATCTGGGCCATTTCTCTAACAAATACCTTAAAAACTGCTTTCTTATAGGTATGAAGCCAGCCTTCCCCAGGTACAGAAAGTAGATCTAGATTTGTCCAAGCCCCTTTTCACAACAGCTACACTGTTTTCAGCATGCAGGTAAGGATATATTTTGTTAAGGACTTATGTTTCCAAAGTTTATAAGTCACTTGCAATTCAGAACACATTTTCTTACAGAAATAATGTTTGTTTGGTGGTTAGTTTCCCAGGGTGGCCTCCAAAGCCTGTTAGCTCAAAATGTAGCTGTTCTAATCACTGGTAATGGTACAGCCATGTACTGTAAAAGAGGTAAAAAATTACACTTAAGTCAGAGCTGTTGGACTTGACCAGATACAGAAAAAAGAAATCCACGCTAGAGGGGAAACAGTTTCAAAGACACTAGGATGGATTTTCAGGATATTTCACATGAGCTCAGAGGCCTTCTAGTCCAGCACCTTACTACCTCTCTCAAAAAGAGAGCTTCCACTGGGACAGCAGCGGTGGTGGTTGGAAACAAGCCACTGGAGCCTTCTTTCCCTCCCTCCGTGGTGGCAGAAAGATGAAAGGAAAATGAAATCTCTAAAGAATTCTGTACCTGGAGCAACTTGCCAGATCTAGAGGAGAGAACCTATCAGCTGTAACTGACTGCAGAGTCCCACCAGCAGCAGTGCATATGGATCTAAAGGGAAAGCTGAGGAATAACCAAAATCTTTTCAAGGAAATTGTGTACAGGTTCCCTAAATTTCATAATGTGCAGTTTCTGTAATTCTTCCTTGTAATGGCTTCTGTGCCATTTAGGGGCAGGATATTTTAGCTTTTGGGAATTTTGAAGAAGAAAAGAATCTGAAATCAGGAAGAAACAGCAGAATTTTTATCATTTTACATATTTTGGGGAAAACTTCTTGGACCTCACCAACAGCTCTACTCTAATGTTTCATTGTGATGTGGAAATAACCCAGGATTCTTGAAGGCTGTGTGTCAGCATACCATAAGCTTTGTCAGTCCTACCAAGCCTGAAAGACTTTGAATATGACCTTGTTTACATACTTAAATCTGTTCTCTTCTAGCTTACCTAAACTCATAGGGGCTTATTGGGGAGTTGAGGTTTTTTAGCAACAGCAGCTTTCAAAGATCGTTTGGTGAAGAGCAGAGGATATTGCTGTCTGTATTAGTGGAGGGATTACTCCATTGCCAAAATTTGTGGCTCCTTGAAGTGTCCTTAGAAGAAGCTTCTCACTTCTTGGAGTTTTAAAAATATGTCTCCAGGGAGTTTTTCTCTTAAGTAATTTGCAGCAATAATCTATTCATTTAATTGTTCTTTAGCAATGATACTAAATCCTCACATTTATTTGGTACTTTAAGATGTAAGAAGCACTTTCACAACAGTGCTATAATGCTGATGGTCCAAGTATTATTATTCCCATTTGACTGAGGAAACAGACTTAGAACTGAACCTAGGTGTCTTGAGTCTGTGACTGATACTATTCTTACTATACCACTATGCCTCAGGAGTGGTATAATGAAAAGAAGTGAGAAGAGGGAGTAATGAAGCTTAAGTTCTAGTTCTGGCTCTACCACAAATTAGCTGTGTGATCTAGAATGCAAAAACAAAACCTCATCTCTCTGGATATCAGTTTCCTCATTTGTAAAGTGAGGAGTTTGGACTAAATGATGGCTGTCCTTTCCAGATATAAAATGATGTGATTTGAATGATTCAAAATAAAAAAACTTTGAGTTACCATCCCACAGCCATCAAACTGGCAAAAATAATTAAAAGTAATAAAACTCAATGTTGGAAGTATCCTCATAGAACCTTTTTGACAGCATTTTATTAATATGCAGTAGAAGTTACCAAAATAATTGTACTCTTTGACCCAGTTATTCCACTGTTGAGTATTGTGTTGAGAAAGTGTTGTAGAAAAACAACATGCAAAAACCTGTTTTCATAGCATTATTATAAATAATTGTAAAAAAAAGAACTGGAGAAACAAATGTCCAACAATAAGAGAATCGTTAAATAAATTGTGGTAGATAAATGTAGGAATAGTATCATTTGGTTAAGTCTCACAACTATAAGTAGTACCACGAAATCTAGAAAACCATTATGAATTAATGCAAAATGAAAAAAGCCAAAGTAAAAATGAATGGGCGAAAAATTCTGATTTGTGGAGCTTTAGTGGGAATGACTAAAAAAGCTCTGTTCTCTACATTGAAATTAATTTAATTGTAAATAGTTACTAAGCAAATTTAATTAGTTGTATTGCTTAATATTATTTTTAACAAGTCATTTAATTTAAAAAATTTTAAAACCCAAAAAAAGAGAGCTTCCAGAAAAATGGAAAATGTATGGTATTATTACCGGAAAAAAAGATAACTGAGAAGAGATCAGAATTTTTTGACTTGTTTGCCTATTTTCTCAACAAAATCTTTGAGAATAGTCTATGTACATATTAAGGTATTCTTGAGTAACATTAGAATAGAATAAACTTTTACAAACTATTTTCTATACATCTTAATCACATAATTTACTTCATGATGTAGAAAATACAAGATCTTGGGGCAGTGATGTGGTGCAGTGGATAGAGCACCAACCCTGGAGTCAGGAGGACCTGAGTTCAAATCCGGCCTCAGACACATAACACTCACTAGCTGTATGACCATGGGCAAGTCACTTAACTTCATTGCCTAGCCAAAAAAAAAAGAAAGAAAGAAAATCCAAGATCTTTCTATGTTTATTGTTTCAAGAAAGAGTACTTTTTAAATTACTTTTTTTTTTAAAAGTATTTGATTTGGTAAAACAAACTTAGCCATAAAGAGTCCTCTCCCATATGGTGTCAGACATGCATATGTTAAGATCATACAAGTTTCCTTGATACATGCAACCACAGACATAATTTTGTCCAATAATACTCTGAATATAAAAATCAAGCGAGGCATAAAACTGGACATGTCCACCAAAGGTATTCATTGGTGTTATGGACAATGTCCTGCACAATATCCAGATGGAAGATGGAATATGTATAGATGATAATAACTCACATCCACATAGTACTTTGAGATTTACAAAACATATTTAAAAACTCTTTGAAGTTGATGGTGCAAGTATCCTTTTTCTCATTTTATGGATTAGAAAAATGAGTAATAGAGTCTAAAAAATGAGTCTGGTTTCACCCAGAGTTGCACGCCTAGTAAGAGTCAAACCCAGATCTTCTGATGCTTTATCTTGTATTCTTTCCACTTCACCATTTGCTTTTACTTGCAAGTGGAATTCTGATTAGAAGGCTTTCTTTGTAGAATTCCCAGTATAACCACTCAAGATTGGCTTAACATTCAAAGACAGAAGGAAAGGATGGCTGTATACTGAAATATTCATAGCTGTACTTTTCGTTGTAATAAGGAACTTGAAACAAAATAGGTACCCATCAAATGACAAATCGCTGAATAAATTGTGGTACATAAATGTAATGAAATATTATTGTGCTGTAAGAAATGATGAATAAGACTAATTCAGAGAAATCTAGGAAGACATGGATGAACTGATGCAGAATGAAATAAAAGAACTGGGAGAAAAATTTACACAGTGGCAAGCAACTTTTTTTTTTTCTTTTTGGTTAGGCAGTGGGGTTAAGTGACTTGCCCAGGGTCACACAGCTAGTAAGTGTTACATGTCTGAGGTTGGATTTGAATTCAGGTCCTTCTGAATCCAGGGCCAGTGCTGTATCCACTGCGCCACCTAGCTGCCCCTGGCAAGCAACTTTCAAAGACTTCAGAACTCTGATCAGTGAATTAATCTGTGACTAACCATGACTTTAGAAGACTGATCATAAAACATTCCTCTTAGCAGAGCAGTGATGGATTAGAGGTACAAAATAATCCATACATGTTTTGTTTGACTGTATTTCTTTGGGGGTATTGAGTTAATGGATAGTGATCAAGATGCAAAAAATAAATGGAAGAAAAGAGCATCAGCAAAAAGGTTTTAAAATACATAGAAGAAAATGGTTTATAAGGAGACACAAGGTAATTTTGTTACTACCTTATTAAATTGAATATAAATTTTTTTAAAAACTAAAGTAAGTAACAAGTTGATGGGTTCATATAAAATCCTATTTTGTTCTTTGTAAATTGAAGTGTTGGTATTTGATGATTACATTCTTAATATAAAAAGATTCTTTTAAAAAGAAGATATGTTATACATCAGAACTCTGATTAATACACTTACTGATCAGAATATCAGAGGACTGACAGTGAAACATGCTTTTCTGCTCACAGTGGAAGGGTGAGCTATAGGTGGAATGAGGTATGCATTGCCATAAATGACTAATTATCAATTTATTTTGCTTACCAGTGCTTTTTTGTTTTGGGGGTGGCGGGGCAGATATTGGGAATTATTGGGAAGTGACAGTTGTTTGTTTTCTCTTTTTTTCCTTCAGGGCATAATAAAACATGTTTGAAAAAAAAATAAATGTTATAGTCTGGATGATAAATCTATTCATATATCTTGGTGAGGGACAGTGAGCTGGGCCCAGAACTGATTAGGATTAAGAGAGAGGATTAGAAAGTTGTGTGTTGCTTCCATTGATGTCATATTGTTCCTTGCCACAAAAGCCCATATTTTTTAACACCATTATTCTCCTAATGATGTGATATGGCTACAAGTCATGGAGTAACACAATCATATAGAAATCCAAATTGCAGGTAACACAGAGGGGGAAGGGGAAATGTGTGAAGAATATACATTGTATAGAGTAGTCAGTAGTTTATTACTAACAATGACTTATGGGCATAGAAGACATGGTCAGGAACATGTACAGCTAGAAGAAGAGGCAGGTTATTCATTCATGTAGGGAGAGGAAAGGATGATAGATGAACAGGTGTATTATTGTACTAATATCTACAAAATATTAAAAGACAAAGGAAGGTCACAAATTCATTGAATAGATCCCTGTGGGGAATTTATAAATGAGAAGAAAGCTAGAGTAATTTTCAGTCTGTACCAGTGGAGGGAGTTCTCATGCCATTTAGATTACAAATCCATTGAATAGCAGAAATGTTGTATGTTCACAACTATATAATGCTTTCTATTACTGTTAATAGAGTTAATGGAAATTTGTAGTATTTAAGTTACATTAAAAATTAGATAGGCTTTTAAGAACTTAACCTGGGAACTTAGTTGCCCTTTAGGACAACTTCTATGGGGAAATGCATTCCAAATTCTAACTGATGATATCCCTCTCCTTGTTATAGCTATAGTGGCAGCAAGGAAATTCCTCCCCTTTCAGAGCTACCAGGTGGTCATTTCATATGTAAAGAATGTTTAAAACTTGAGTTTTTTCTGTCTTGGGCTATCTGCATGTGAACATCGAAATCTGATCCCTGATTTAGCTGTTAATGATTAATAGTTTGCTAGTTGTAGCTCCAAAAAGCAAAATATTAATGATTTTATAGGTAGCTTTTGAGACTTTTAGATTACTTCTTAAAGATCCAGTTTCCAGTTTGTTAGTATGTTGATGGACTTTGATTTGTACCACAGTGGTTATCCCTAAATACTAACTATTCATGGTTTCTGTTCCTGAAGAGGCCTTTTTGCTTTGCTTTCTGCTGGAAAACACTTTAAAAATAAACAGCAATTTAGGGGTGGATTCCTCTACCCAGCCAAATGATTTTGGAGTCGTTTGGCTTTATTACCTACATATAGCAAAGTGTGATAATTAGCATATATGGAGGAAAAAAACCTAACTCCAAACCAGTATTATAGGAAAGGATGAAGTTAATTTAGTTTGGGTCTATTCCTTATGTGCTCACATTTCTGAAGTATAAAACAGGTATAAAGCAAGGAAAGATGTGAATGGGCTCCTCATTTTATAAATTCTTTTAGTCTCATCTAGTAAATGTAAGCAATGAAATGAAAAGAGCCGGGCACTTGAAAACAATGTGATACTTATGCCCAAATATGTTAGTTCTTTATATATTAAACACCTGAGAATTTAAGAAAATGAATATAGCAGTTCTGGTATTCATTTCTGTCTTCTCATATGACCCTCTCTTATAGCAGAGATTCTGATATAGAATGTGTGTCTTCCACATTAGTAATTTTGTCCATCTAACAACTAAAAATTTAATAAGTAGATTAAAGAAGTGGATAGCATCCCTAAAGCTAAAATTTTACAGTGGGGCTGAAGGGGGAAGAAACAGTTTTTAGACACTTCAAACACCCACTAGTAAAGCAAGGGAAAAAAGGAACAGAAGATGGTGTAATGAAGAATATACCAAACTAAACCATCAAATATTTGAGTGAAAATCCTTCTTCCGACACTTAATGTCTCTCTAGTATTATATATAAAATGGAGATTAAAAATATTCGGAACTCCTTTGTGGAGTTGTTCTAAGAATCGAATGATTGTATAAAATGGCTTTGTTTTTGTTTTTTTTTTCCATCTTAAAGTGCTATAGAAATGTTAACTATCAACATTTTCATTAGTGTTATTGATGGGTAGGTGGCAAGAAAAAGGTATCTAACCATTTAAGAAAATTAATTATTTTATAGAGTCCTAAAGATAAAAGTGAATAAAGACAAAATGGTGGCCACATGTGGTGTAAAGAAAGCTGTTTTTGATCGACTCTGTAAACAGTTGGAAAAGTTTGAACAGCAAGTTAAGGGTGAGTATTCCACAATTTATGGTTATATGAATTTAGGCCAGGTTACCACAATTGCACATTTATAGTTGCAAAGACTTGTGTTACCCAAATTGGTTCCTCAGACAAATGCTGTAATGTGCTCCATTCATGCACATAGGTCAGACTATTGTAGAAACCAAGCTAAAGGAAAACCTCAAAATGTCTTTACTTTTTTCCCCCTTCCAATAAAACCAATGGCATTTGGGCATGCAAGATCATAGGATAGAGCTGAAAAGGGTCTTAACGATCATCCAGTCTTACTCCTCATTTTACAAGGATGGAAACCATGGATCTAATGACGTAAATGTAATGTAAGATTCTTTGGAGATTACACATGCTAGAATGACGATTCATACCTGGAGGTGGGAAGGAAGAAGAGAAATAATACTAATGACAGTTTTATTTTTCTTGAAGGAGAACCTAGCAGTTCAGCTTCTCCGCCAGCCAAAAGACAGAAAATAATAGTTGAACATTCCAAGAAAGGTAAGGCTTGCTGTCACTGTGAATGAGAATTAGTTCAAGGGAGTATTAAGACTCTGGCAGTTACTTAAAGGCTCTGTTATCAAATCTAGAATAAAATCTGTCAGGTAACCGTTTTTTAAAAGCTCTTACAGTCCTCATCATAAGCAGTGGAAAAGTTTGAAGGATTCTCACAATAGTTGGAGTGTATAAGACTTTCTAGCTTTCTGCTTAAATTTGTTGCTTACATATATAAGGAACTTAAATCATGGAAATTCAGGATTATTTTTAGTCTTACATTGGGAGTTGTGACTTTAAAACAGGAGATTTTTCTATTGTCCTAATTTCTTAAAATAGAGACAAACTTTCAAGTTGCTAAGATTGAGAATTTTTAACCTCTTAAAATTTTTCCTCCAGAAATAGAGGAAGAAGCAGAGTCTCTATGTAAGCAGCAGCAAAGTGAAGATTTAAAACAAGATTATGAAGAGTGGAAAAGAAAAATCTTAGAAAATGCTGCTAAAGCACAAAAGAAGTGATTTCAGTTTCCAGAAAACACCTGCCTCCAACCACGACTCTTATCCCCAGGGAGCCTTGATGGGTCATTAGCATTTGCTCTTGAGCAAGAATTCTGAAAGTGCTACCTTGATATGCTTGGGGTTCTTTACTGGGCAGTACCAAGCATGTTATGTTAAGGAAAACCCTTTCACCTCCACTCTGAGTTTCCATATTTCCATATTAAAGAAGGTAGCACAGAGGTCACATGTAAGGCAGTGGGACCTGGCTCCTGGCGTTGGAAATAAGCTGACACAATCAACCATGGTGTCATTTGGCATATAGCTTCCACTTACCCACCAGGCATGTATGTTCTCCTCCAAAAAAGTCTAAGGAAACTTAGTACTCTAGTTGTACTTTTGATAATACACTGCTCAGGGGTGGGGAACCTGCAGCCTCTGAGGCCACTTCCCCACCCATGCACTCATTTTGAAGCAATACAAGTGGATTTTCATACTATTTGATGCCTGCTTTTCATTGTTTTTGCAGTTTTTTTAGAATCATAGAATCTTTTAGTTTAAATAAAATACTGAAACCCAAAATAATAAATTTTATTTCTGTGTCCAGCATGTCTTAAATTTTTGTTTAAAGAACACCCTTTTGGGGGCAGCTAGGTGGCGCAGTGGATAGAGCACCAGCCCTCAAGTCAGGAGGACCTGAGTTCAAATCCAGCCTCAGACACGTAACACTTACTAGCTGTGTGATTCTGGGCAAGTCACTTAACCCCAATTGCCTAAAGAAAAAAAGCAAACAAAAAACACCCTTTTGCCATAAATATGGAATAATTTTTATCTACTAGCTACCCTATTAGTAGTAATTTAAAAAGGTCACATAATGGACTACAAACGAGGACAGTATTGCAAAATCAAGAAATTAACCAAGGTTTATTTCTGCTTCAGCTTCAGATATATACAGACTGACAGATGCAATAGCACTTAAACACTCAACATTAAAAAACAAACTTATGGAGTTTGGCCTTCATAGAAGGTGAAAAGATCTGGGAAGTGGTACCAAATAGAATTTCACTTTGGTTACCTTCTAATTACATGTGTTGAAAGAGTAAAACACAAAACTGCTGAGTCCAATTTTTAAAATTCCATTTTATTACTAGATGTTAAGGGTAGGTATGTAGTTTATTTGTTTATTTGTTGTAGACCTATAATTTCATTGACTTATATACTCCAGAGGTAGAAACTTCCAGTCGACAAAGAGCAGCTCATCTGAAACTCTTAGGTGATGAGGCACTGAGAGGTTAAGGGACTTGCCCATAGGCACAAATGCAAGGATGCCCCAGAGCTAGCATTTGAACGCAGGTCTTTCTACATTCAATCCCAGCACTCTTATCCCATGTTCCCGCTTGGGTATGCTCCAATTTTTCAAAATACACAGCCTGTGTGGAACCTGGAGTAACTAAAAGCTTTTTAAAGAATTTTAGAGATTAAAAAAAAAACCATAGAGCGGAGTTGAGCAGGACAGGGTTAAAGATTATAAGACAAAAATATCAACTCTATAGTTGACTACATAATTAGCCTTGTAACCTACAAGTGGAGTTTACAAAATTAGTTTCCTAAAAATACTAATGTACTTGCGCTCAAGCTGAGAAAAGCAATTCCCTTCCTTTTGGAAGGAAAGTCATTTAGCAATCAAAAGTGCCAGCATCTGCATGCAATATAATACTTGCTTTCCCAGTTGAACTTGAAAGGGAAACAACTAATGGGATTAAGAATAGGAATAAAAACCAGCAATGAGGAGAAATTCCTGGCTTCTAACAAAGACCTGACATTTATTCTATTAATGCTCATTATTTATACTCAGTTTCGTGTTTCAGGTTGGTTTTTTTTTTCTTTTATGAATCACCTTTAGAAAAGGTACTGACTTTTTTTTAAAAAATAAAGTTATAGAAGAAATGCATGAAAGAGTCTTCTCTATTTTAAGTGGGGCTTAGATTTGCTTTGTGCTATTGATTTGCATTCCTAATTTTAGACATAACTTTACTATTCCTACATGAAAAATTCCTGTCCAAAATAGTAATGTTCTAGTCAGGTTGCTAGTAAATCTAAAACCCCTAAAATTTGTTCATATGATGTGGGACAGGAGAAATGAGAATTGTTCTAAAGCTCAGAGTTAGAAAAATAAAAGGAAATAATAGGCTTAATTAGGATAGGGCCTGGACCTATGATTTCGGTGGTATAGGGAGCGCCCAGATAAGGAAACTCTCTCTACCAATGCATGTTGGCACCCTTTCTGAAACTTGAGCCTAGAGCACTGACAAGTTAAACTATTTGCCCAGAGCTTAGCCAATATGTTAGAGATAGGAATGGTATCCAGGTCCTCTTGGCTCAAGGCTGGCTCTCTTCATTTGTAAGACAACCCATTTCATTATTGAAAAATCATTCTTTTATGTTGAGCCAAAATCTTCTACATCTGTGTATAGCTTAACCAGCCCCTCCATGGAATCTTGGTTTACTGACAGCATTTAAGTACCCAAAGGCTGTGGGTTTAGAGTTATGGGTTTGGGAGAGAGGTCTTGAAAAGCTACTTTGGGGGGGGGGGGCAGCTAGGTGGCGCAATGGATAGAGCACTGGCCCTGAAGTCAAGAGGATCTGAGTTCAAATCCAGTTTCAGACCAAATACTTGACACTTATTAGCTGTGCGACCCTGGGCAAGTCACAACCCCAATTGCCTAAAAAAAAAAAAAGAAGAAGCAGAAAAGCTACTTATAGTTATCCAAACTGGTTGCTGTGCTCTGATTTGGGATGGTAAGGCAAAAAATTGAGTTAGAAGCCATCTAGGTCATTTACTCTTCATATTTTTCATTTCTTGCTCTCACTCTTTTTCTTGCTCTTTCTCTTGCTCTCTCTGCATATATATATGTATGTGTGTATATATGTATATATGTACAGATATACACGTGTGTGTGTGTACACATAACTGCATTTAAAATTTTAAGCATATAAAGAACCATATAAGAAGTTTTCTCTACTATTTTGACGTTGCTCAATTTGGTTTAAAAAATGAGCAGCAGTCAACTCCATTCCTTTGGGAAAATACTATGTAAAACACTTCTCATCTATCCCTTAGTTTCTGGTACCAGTTCCCATGGTTTCTAAACCAGTGTTGCTATACTCTAAAGCATAGATTCCTAACGTAAAGTCCATAAACTTTTTAAAAAATTTTGCTAACTTTCAATATAATTGCTTTTCTTTGTCATCCTCCATAATTTAGTGCATTTAATTGCATTTAAAAGCATTATTCTGAGAAGGGGTCTTTAGGCTTCACCAAACTCCCAAAGGGGGCCATGATCCAAAAAGAGGTTAAGAACCCCTGTTCTGAAACTTCATAATACAATATCACCTAAACAACCAAAAGCAATAAGAAATCTACACTTTGGAAATAATACTGAATGGCTTATCCCTGTGCCACATGCTACTATAATTGTTACTCAGAACAAGTTAAAAATTGAAATTAATCACACTCCTAAAATAGGATCATATGTCCCCAACTCATTTTATTTAAAACATGCCTACTGTCATCACCTAATAAAGTTTTTAAGGCAATTCTTACATAGCAAGTTCACATCCACATTTAAGACAGGCCACAGTAATAACATTACTTACACAATTTAAAAACAGGAAATCAAATACAATAATAGTAAAGGGCCAGATCACTAGACAAAGAGTTCCCTGTCTTAGTTTCATCTCTAGCTCTAAGTATTGCAGAACTTTCAAAGCAGCATAGATGAGGCTTGGGGACAACTTGGAAACTTCCTAAGCCTGTTGGCAGCAGTCACTGCATAGAAATGTTTCTTGAAAGAAAATAAAGAGAAAATTTGCATTTTAGACTAAATTGTCATTTAAGAAGAAAGGATTGGGAAAATCAAAGTAAATAAGGTCAAACAAGTTTCTTGCTTTATTTGTAATTGATTCAGCTAGTGACCCCCAAACTACAAACTTTCTTAAAAGTTGTTAGGTTGAAGGTAGGAATCTTTTTTTTTGTAGGGGGGGAAGGGGGTAGGTTAAGTAATAGGAGGGCATGATAGCTGTAGAGGTAAAGTAGAGGAGTTAGGAGACATAGGAAATAAGAGATATATGAACAAATATAAAAACAAAGATCAGAAGTAGAATATGTTAGGGAAAGTATATGTGTATGTATGTATACATGTATGTATGTGTGTATGTATGTATATAAATATATTCATGCTTAATTGTAGCCTGGGGGTGGGGGGGGGGGGAGGAAGAGGGAAAAAAGAACAAAGTAAAAAGTGCACAGCAGGGAACAAAAGAAAACTTACAAGGAAAGAAAGAAAAGATGCACAGCTCTCAACACAAGGTGTAGTATTTATTATATAGGCTTTCTTGAAATGGAAATTTATTGCTATATATTTTGAATCCTCTCAGGTTCTGTTGTGCACAGGACACGCTTTTTTTAACTTTTCTTGTTTTGTACTGAAGTTTCAATAATTAAAAAAAATGTTGCTAGACTGTAAACTCCAGGAGGACAGGGATCATGTCTTAAACTTTGTACCTCTCCTGCCTCCTGGTGCAGAGCTTTGCATATAGTTGGCACTTGATGAATGGCAACACTATTCTTATTCATGACCTTAAGGTTGTTGATTATCTAAAGTAAAGTATCCTAATTTGGTCTTAGCCCCACAACCTTCTACTTTTACATTTAGCTTTAAGATTGCAATGTATCCTAAGGATAGTCTTTTAAGACTCTTTTACATGTTGGACACATAGCTATGGTTATGTCAACCTAAATGTATAAAATTATTTTAATTTAATTAAAATAATTAATTAAAATTTAATTAATAAAATTGTGGAGGCATGAGGCATCAGCCAGGTAACTCCCACCTCAGGTATCTGCTGTCACTAATGAGAGCATATATTCAAAACTTCTCATGGCATTTTCAGTTGTAAGTATCCACATAAATACACCATTGCTTAATATGCCACCAGTATTTTAAACTATTGATTTGGGTTTCTGGAGGAGACATATTTTGACTCCTTCTATTCAAAATGTTGTCAAGTGCAAATATAGCCAAGGTACTTTTAAAGGAAGCATGAAAGAACCTACTTCTTTTTCCTTCAAAACAGAACTACAACAAAACCTTACTTTCCATTTTCTTTGAGCCATGTATTTCCGTAGCAGTATCTGGGACTTGAGCCGAACTTTAGACTTTGTGGCTTTGGTCGGCAGATTATTCACCCATTCGTGTTTCAGACACTGTGCAGCACTCATTCTACAACTGGGAAACCAAACGGCAGGTGAAATTAGACAATTGGTTGTGCCCTCTTGGGTTGTACAGAGATCTGGAGTGCTACACAGATCAAAAGCTAATGGAGGGGCAGCTAGGTGGCGCAGTGACTCTGGCCTTGGAGTCGAGGATGTGAGTTCAAATCCAGCCTCAGACACTTAACACTTACTAGCTGTGTGACCCTGGGCAAGTCACTTAACCCTGATCACCTCACTGAAAAAAAGTTAGTGGAACTGAACCTTTAGGTGGCTTTTTGATCACTTGGCTATGTTACAGTGAAGATTCCTCATGTATAGATAAGACTTCCAACTCAAATTCTGTGACTGGTGGGTACCAATAAAAGAAGTCACTTTGATCAAATCTCCCCCTAAAAATTTCCATGACAACCAGCTAGACAAAAGTTTGCTAACCCAAGGTAACAGATAACCTATAGTATCAAGGGGATGAGGTTTGGGGAAGCAGTGGTTACTCTGGAGAAGAAAAATAACCAAATGTATATGAATCAAAAGAGCTGAGCCTTCTATAAGAGTTAATATAGGCTTGATTATTAAATTTGACATATTTCTCCTCACAGGTAACATTTTTTTCATAGTCAAAAATTAATAACTATGGGGCAGCTAGGTGGCGAAGTGGATAGAGCACTGGCCCTGGATTCAGGAGGACCTGAGTTCAAATCTGGCCTCAGACACATTACACTTACTAGCTGTGTGACACTGGGCAAGTCACTTAACCCATTGCCTAACCCCCCCCTCAAAAAAATATTAAAAAATTAACAACTAGCAGTTATTTAGCACTTTAAGGTTTACAAAATACTTGACATATCTCATTTGCCCCTCAGTGCAACCCTGGGAGAGCTACCAATATCCTCTTTTTACAAAATGAGGAAACTGAGACTTAGATCAAGTGACTTGCCCAGGGTCACACAGTCAAAAGGTATCTGGAGTAGGATTTGAATTCAGGTTTTCCTCATACCAGGTCTAGTATTCTATTCACTGTACCACCCAGCTGCCTAAAACCAGCCTGATAATGGAGCTAGAAAAGGGTCAGTAACAAGGCTCTAGATCTTCCCTCCCCTAAATAGGAAATACTTCTAATTCTTACCATTTCTTTCTCATTTTATAGGGCTAGGGAATGGACCTGACATTTCATTGCTATAGGGAACTCCCAGGTATAGGGACTCCCTCTACCTATGCGGACTAAGATTCTCTACAGCTTAAAATCCTAGTTGCCTGGAGTCGAGAGATTCAAAGACTTGCCCAGAGCCACACAGCACATATGTGCCAGAGGTTTTCTTGGCTTTGAGGCCAACTCTCAGTCATTATTATGCTATGCTGCCTCTCATTTTATACTCACAGTGGAGCTTATATCATTCATTTGACATAGCTTCCTATTGCTTTTAAGTACAAAAAAAAAAAAAAAAGGTGGGGATGGGGGAGGGAAGCAGCCCTTCCTCACCAAGGAATAAAGTTTTTCTCCTTTCTTGCCTTTATTCTAATTATGGCAAGTCGGTGTTTCTCAGCCTCTTTCCTGGCAATATCCTTGCATGTGTAAATACTTGGAAATAACAATCATTTCCAAATATTCCTCCTGCCTACATTTACATAGATCTTAAGTTATCAGTCTCATGCATTTAGAAAATATTTTCATTCTGTGAAGGCATTATTTTTGGACTCTTTCTCTTGTCCTTTTTGCCAATCCCCTCTTTGCTTTCAAGTGTGGACTAAGGAACCAAAAGGGAAATTTAATTATCCTATAGGAAGATGGGATCTTTTACTCCCAGCAGATCATATAGAACCAAGACAAAGTTCCTGAAATGAACCCCATTCTTTACCACAGTGTCCTGAGTACGGGGTTCTCCCAACTTGATGAGATCATGATTGCTCCCAATAATACATACCTCTTCTCTTTAACCAGCAGCCTAGAAATGAAATCTTTGGCCTCTTCCGACAGCCCTTCAAACGCATCAGCATCAAAATCCCAGCTACAATTCACAATGTAATTCATTGTCTCTGCATCTGTTTCCCCCAGAAATGGAGACAAGCCACTGAGCCTGGGAAGGAAATAGATGCCCACCAACAAATGGAAAAGCACATTGTGATGAAAGAAGCAACTAATAAGCTTCAAATGGGAATAAAAGGGGGTGAAAGGAAACATCTCTGTAGGCCAGAAGGTTGTGAACCCTGGAGGAGATTAAAAGAATAGATCCAGAAGCAGTGCAACATGCTTTGGAACGATCTTATACTGTTCCCTCTCCCCCATTTATCTCCCACCACAATTAATTTGGGCCCAAACCTCAGATCATCAATTAATCTTCTATACTTTCATCCAATAAAAATATCTGGAGATATCTGCGAAGCAACCAGACTAGGTAAAATACTACCCTGTCTCTTCACAGAAGCCCTGGTACCCAGAAGCCTGATTAACTTAGTATTCATCATCTCTGGGTGTAGAAGGTAGGATGCTAGAGGGAGAAATAGGAAATTGATCCAAGCTGCCAAAGTCCCTTTCCAGGCCCGAGTTCTACCCAGGTCCCCTCCTTCTACACACACAGAGTATGGAAAGGGCAAAAGGGCTCAAGCTATGACAAAATGATAAACAGCTTTCCTGAAATTGAGAGCCAAGAACTTCTCCAAACTAGAGCAGTCCATGGTCATAGGAAGTTGAGGATATTTAGTCGGACACTTAAATCTCCTACCAACTACATCATAGAGCTACTTCCTCTTCCCAGTGTGAAAAAAAATCAAGGGGGTTAGACAGGCAGGCGGCAAGCGTAGCCAAACCCAGCAAAGAATTTTTCTCATCACTGCTACACTATTGCCTGGCCAACCTGAGTTACTTACAGCATGTACGTGATGACACCCACACTCCACATGTCAGTGGGAAAGGAGACAAAATCATAGTTCACCACTTCAGGGGCCAGGAATTCCGGGGTGCCAAAGTTCACTTTCAGCTTCTCCCGGGGCTTGTACCTGTAGCCAGAGTCCAGGAGAACATCAGAACTCTGAGAAAGGGGTTGGTGAAAAAATGAAAGGGTGCTATAGGTAAAAATGATTCTAGGGAGGTATCTCTGGATTTAGGTCATTACTAGACTCCTCTGGCAACCACACTGGCTTGATATGGCTGTGTAAACTCTTTGTAACATGGAGGAGATGATATAGTCTCCCTCCCTCACCCCCTTACCCACTTGGTCACACCCTGAGGCTGGGAATACTGAGCCAGGGATACTATGGAGAGACACAAAGGAAATGGAGGGAGCATGCTCTAGATGGGGTGACAGAAGAGATGCCATTTGCAAATAAACAAGCAGGGAATTAAGATGAAAACTCTTTAAAATAAAATTTTACTGGCATTTGTTTTGTTTTTATATCAGCTACATTTGCTAGTATATCCCACCCTCTCCCCTTTCAAGAGAGCCATCTTCTATGATTAAAAAAAAAAAATGAAAAACAACCAACACATTGAAAAAGTCTGACATTGTATGTAGCACCCATCTGTAGTGCCTCACTTCTGTAAAGAAGTAGGGGAGCACATTCTCATACATGTTCTTTGGGGCCAAACTTGGTCATTATCATTTCATAGCATTCAGTTTTTATTTTTGATGTTGTTCCTCCAATCAGTTAAAACTGTTTAAAGTGTTGAAGGGCACTGGAATGCTTGGGATTGGTGCTATCATTTAGGGAAGACTTCTTAGGGGAGAAACAACCTAAAATTGGAGGACCTGGATTCAATTCCTGGCTCTTTCCTTCACCACTACCTGTGTGATGTTGGGGAAACAAGTAATTCAGCTTCTCTGCATAACACCCCCCTCGCTCTGCATTTTCTTGTTGAAAGCAAACATCCAAGACCCTCTCTGGGTCACATCCAAGCACTCTCTGGTTGGTCAGTATCTCATAAGCGCTGAGGACTAGGACTTCTTTTTTTTTGTTCCTTAATAGTATTTTATTTTTTCCAATTATATGTAGAGATAGTTTTCAACATTCTCTTTTATAATATTTTGAGTTCCAAATTTTTTTCTCCCTCCCTTTTGCCCCCTCCCCAAGATGGCATGGAATCTGATATAGGTATACATGTACAATCATACTGAACGTAAGGACTTTTTCTAATAATGCCAGGTTTACACATATCTATCTATAATTGGAGGGGGGTGGGGTGTACAAGGAAGAGACCACTGCTCAGGCCTGCCTCTTGAGTAAACAAGAGTCAGAGCTGTGCTAAGAGACTCAGCAGCTAAGGAGACAGATGCAAGAGAGAAAGAATGCTTTCCAGAACCCACAGAGATAGGCCAGGCTTTCAGGCCCTGGAATTTGGTTGCCTAGGTTACCCACCCAGGCTGGTACTTCCCACTCCAATGCTGGGTGAGCATTTCTCGGAACCCACTGCCTCCTCACCAATGTTGTTGTTGTTCAGTTGTTTCATTTGTATCTGACTCTTCATGACCCCATTTGGGGTTTTTTTGGCAAGGATACTGGAGTGGTTTGCCATTTCCTTTTCCAGCTCGTTTTATAGATGAGGGAACTGAGGCAAACAGGGTTAAGTGATTTGCCCAGGGTCACCCAGTTAGTAAGTGTCTGAGGCTAGATTGGAATGCAATAGCTGCATGGAAATATGCTCTGGGGAGGCAGCTCGCCCTATCCTCCATTTACTGGGCTAGGATTTAATATTCACACGTGAAATGGATTTTTTTAGATTCTTATTTTTACTAAGAAGCCATCTATAAGAATTCCAGTGATAATTTAAGATACTTTGGTTATTACTCTGCCATATCCCTCTCCTTATCCTGTTGAACCACTCCCAGGGTCCCCAGGTATGCCAACAAAGGTTCAGATGAAATGGACTTGACCTGAGGGATTAGGGTTTTCTCTTAAAAGGAAGGCTGTTAGACAGCTCAGTGGATAGCAAAGGCAGGCCCTGATATCACACACCCAGTGGTCTTTGAAAGCCTCTTACTTGATACAAAGTGGTGCAACATGGTATAGGACAGACCACTGTTCTGGAGTTGAGAAGATCTGAGTTCAAATCTGCACTCAGACACTAGCTGTGTGACCCTGGGTAAATTACTTAACTCCTATTTGCCTCAGTTCCACATCTGTAAAATGGGGACACACTGGAGAAGGAAATGGCAAACCACTCCAGTATCTTTGCCAAGAAAACCCCAAATGGGGTCACAAAGAGTCTGAAATGACTGAACAACAACAATACTTGATACAACAGAGAAACTATGAGTATGTGGATGAAGGCTAGCATGTTGGTTGCTTTTGTCAAGCAGTTTTTTAATATTTTGTTACAAAAGATGGCTTACTAGATTGGGGAGGGGAGAAGGATATTTTAGGAAATGAAGGTGATGCAAAAACTAAAGATATCAATAATTTTAATAGAATAAAAAGAGGTCCTTAGCTGTCTAGTACAGCTTGAATGTAGCTCTGCCTGAAGTCAAGAAGACAGACTAGAATAGCTCCAGTGCAAAAATAGGTCCTGCAGCAGCAGCAGCAGCAACACTCCAGCAAACCAGATTAAAATATAATTGGGAAGCATTTAACAAAATAAGTAACATAATAGAGCATATATCATGTTAATATATGATTCTCTAAGTCAAAGTGCTGCTCATTGGCATCCATATGTATAGTTTGGTGGCCCCCATTTCCATCTGAATTTGACACCACTAGACTAGAAGACCTTTTGAGGCCTTCTGGGACTCTGGGATTCAAAGAATCTGGGGTTAAACTGAAGGAACAAAAGCCGGCTTCCTACAAAGATCTCCCATGCTACGTGATGTCAGGAGCAAAGTAAGTATTTGACCCTGATCTGCCAGTAGAAAGTAACAGGAGATAGAATGCTGAGTCCAGGGAACAGGCAGTTTAACTGTAGAGTTACACAAAGAGGAAGAATGTAAAATGTCTGAAAAAGAGAGTCCGAGACAGGTTGTGAAAGGCCTGTAAATGCTAAGCTGAGATTTCATTATATCTTAGAAGACTTTTGAGCATAGCGCTTCCAGGATCAGATCTGTGCTATAGGAAGGAATTTTGGTAGCTGTTTAAAAGATAGAGTGGAGAGAAGAGAAATTGGAAGGAGAAGACCAATTAGGAGTTTGCTGCAATAGTCCAAGTGAGAAAGGAAGACAATCTCGACCAGGGCAGTGAAAGTGGATAGAAGGAAAGGGATGTGAGAAATGCTGCAAATGATTAGATATGGATAAACAAAGGGAGGTAGGTGGTGAGGGGAGAGGAGAAGAGGATGACACTGAGATTACAAACCTGAGGAACTAGAGGGATGATGGTGCTCTCCAAAAATAGGGAAGTTTTGCAAGCATTTTCTGTGATGGGGAAGAACCAGAAGCCTTTCCAATAAGATCGGAGGTAAAGCAAGGATGTCCATTATCACCATTATTATCCAATATTGTATTTGAAATGCTTGTAATAGCAATAACACAAGAAAAAGAAATCAAAGGAATAAGTATAGACAAAAAGAAAACAAAACTATTACTTTTTGCAGATGATATGATGATTAATTTAGAGAACCCTAGAAAGTCAACCAAAAAACTGGTTGAAACAACTAACTCACACAACTCATCAGCATTTTTACATATAGACAAAAAAAAAGTCCAGCAAGAAGAGATAAAAAGAGCTTCTACATTGCAAGACTGTAGGGCATAGAATTTGTGACATTCTGTAGGGCAAAGGAGCTTGGATTACAACCAAGGATCAACAACCCAGGGAAAATGAGCATGATCTTTCACGGGAGGAGATAGATATTCAGTGAAATAGGAGACTTCCAAACCTTCCTGATAAAAAGACCAGAGCTCGACAGAAAATTCGATCTTCAAATACAAGACTCAAGAAAGACATTAAAAGGCAAACGGGACAGAAGGAAACATGTTATTAATAAGGGCAAACTGTTTACATCCCTACAAGGGAAGATGACACTTGTAACCCTTGGGAACTGTACTGTTAAAGGGGTATACGTAAAGGGGAGAGGTATAAGTTGACTTTCATGTAATGATTAAAAAAAATCTAAAGAATCACATAATCAGTTAGGTACTAATATTGATAGACTTAACCCATCTCAGCAATACAAGGATCTAAGACATCTCCAAAGGCCTCATGATGGAAAATGCTATCCACATCCAAAGAAATAACTATGGAGTTTGAATGCAGATCAAAGCATACTATTTGTTATTTTTTTTCTTCTGTTGTGTTTTGTTTCCTCTTTCTGGTGGTTCCTCCTATTTGATTCTATTTCTTACTTATAACATCAGGATTGTGAAAATGTTTAATAGGAATGTATATGTATGGCCTATATCAGATGGCGAACCGTCTTGGGGAGGGAGGTGGGGAGAGAGGGAGAGAAAAATTTAAAACTCAAAAGCTTATGGAAGTGATTGTTGATAAATCAAAATAAATTAATTAAAAAAAAGAAGAGATAAAAAGAGAAAGGAATTCTATTTAAAAAAATTACAGACAGTATAAAATACTTGGGAGTCTATCTACTAAGTCACACATAGGAACTATATGAACACAATTACAAAACACTTCACATAAATAAAAATAGATCTAAATAATTGGAGAAATATTAATTGCTCATGGGTAGGCTGAGCCAATATAATAAAAAATGACAGTATCACCTAAATTAATTTATTTATTTGGTGCCATACCAATAAAAACACCAAGAAATTACTTTATAAAGGTAGAAAAACACAAAATTCATTTCAAAGAATAAAAGGTCAAGGATATCAAGGCAATCAATGGGGAAAAAATGGGAAGAAAGAGGTCCTAACATTACCAAATTTCAAACTATACTACAAAGTTGTAATCATCAAAGCAATTTGGTACTAGATAAAAAAGAGTGGTTGATCAATGGAACAGATTAGGTATGCAAAGCAAGTGAGAACAGTAAGCTAATGTTTGATAAACCCCAAATTCTGAGCTACTGGGGCAAGAATTCACTATTTGACAAAAACTGCTGAGAAAACTGAAAAAATAGTCTGGCAGAAAACGGGCATAGATCAACATCTCACATCATATACCAAGATAAGCTCAAAATAGGTACCTGATTTAGACGTAAAAGATGATACATAAGCAAATTAGTAGAGCATGGAAGAAATTACCTGTCAGATCTATGGAGAGGGGAAGAGTTCATAACCAAACAAGAGATAGAGAGGTTTACAAGAGGTAAAATGGATAATTTTGATTACCTAAAATTTAAAAGGTTTTGCATAAACAAAACCAATGCAACTAAAACTAGAAGAAAAGCAGGAAACTGGGGGGTGTGGGGGAAGTCTTTGCAGCAAGTTTCTCTGATAAAGGTTTCATTTCTCAAATATATAGGGAACTGAGCCACATTTATAAGAATAAGAGCACCATTCCCCAATTGATAAATGGTCAATGGATATGAACAGGCAGTTTTCAGACAAAGAAATCAAAGCTATCTATAGTCATATGAAAAAATGCTCTAAATCACTATTGATTAGAGAAATGAAAATTAAAACAACTCTGAGGTAAAACTTACACCCATCCATTTAGCTAAGATGACAGATAAGGAAAATGACAAATGTGGAAGGGATGTGAGAACACACTAATGCATTGTTTGCGGAACTGTGATCTAGTCCAACAATTCTAGAGAGCAATTTGAAATTACACCACAAAAGCTATTAAACTAAGCATACCGCTTGACCCAGCAATACCACAACTATACCCCAAAGAGATCAAAGAAAAAGGCAAAGGGACCATATGGACAAAAAAATTTATAGCAGCTCTTTCTATGGTAGGAAAGAATTAGAAATTGAAGAGATGGCCACCATTTGGGGAATGGCTGAAAAAGTTATGGTATATGAATGTGATAGAATACTATTGTGCTGTAAGAAATAATTAAGGGATTGGTTTTAAAAAATTCTGTAAATACTTATATGAGGTGATATAAAGTGAAGTGAATAGAACAATTTACACAATAATAGCAGTGTTGTAAAGATAATGAATCGTGAAAGACTTAGTAACTGATCAACCCAAAGACCCACAGATCATTCCAAAGGACTCTTGAAGAAAAATGCTGTCCACCTCCAGATGGAAAGCAGATTGAAGCATATTTTCCTCTCTCTTTTTCTTGCTTTTTTTTTTCTTCCCAGAACATCCCTTATGTGGAAATTGGTTCTGTATGATTTCATATTTGTAATGGCTTTTGTATTTCTTGCCTCGTTAAGGGGTGGGGCAAGAGTGGGAGGAGGGAAAGAATCTGGAACTGAAAATAAAATAAAACCAAATGGTACACAAAAACAAAGAAGTCTGAAAAACCATTGAGTTGGAGGGTAGTCCAGAAAGATGATGAGTTGCATTTTGGACATGCTGGATTTGAGATTTCAATCATTAAAGAGTGGGACAGGTGAAGATAAGCAGGGAGTGTATTATGGGCTTGGGGGGAAGATGGAGAGTACAGATGAGACCAGGGAATGGAAAAGCCAATAGTACATTTTGGCTGAAACATGAAGTGAATTGAGAGGGTGAATCAATCGTAAGAAAAGCTTGGAATAGTTAAGTGGGAGCCAGATTATGGAAGGCCCTAATTTAGGAAATTTGTATTTTATTTTCTGGTAATAGGGAGTCAATAAAGAATTTTGAGCATGGGAGTGATATAGTAGAAACAGTGTTTTAGGAAATTAGTATGTAGCTTTTGTAGACTTGGGAAGGAAAGAATTATCTTATAAATTGAGTTAATTTTTCAAGTATATTTATCTTATCTCTCCAAACAGCTCATAAATTCTTGAAGACTGGAACCAAGTCTTACGGATCTCTATCCCTCATAATCCCCTGTACACACTGTAGACTCTTAATATGCTTGATGAAGAATGAATGAATTAGAGGGGCAGCTAGGTAGCTCAGTGGATAGAGCACCGGCCCTGAAATCAGGGGGACCTGAATTCAAATCCGGCCTCAAACCAAACACTTGACACTTACTAGCTGTGTGACCCTGGGCAAGTCACTTAACCCCAACTGCCTAAAAATAAAAAAATTTAAAAAAAGAATGAATGAATTAAACTGAACTGTCTCTCCTAGGTTTGCTGTCTCCCACCCCTTTTCCTAAAAGGTGATTTGGAAACACAGTTAAGTACAACTGTAATATAAACAAACTGTGGTAATTATCCTGTGCATTTGCATATGAAAATAGGTATCTGCTACCAAGAGCTTAGTGCCTTGCTCATACATTCTCCAAAATCCTTATGGGAGAGCTGAACAAGTAGTTGTATATGATTGTGATGGAATACTATTGTATTATAAGACATGACGAGAAGGATGCTCTCAGAAAAACCTGGAAAGACGTGTATGAACTGATACAAAGTGAAATGAGCAGAATCAGGACAACATTGTACACAGTAACAGTAATACTGTACGATTGTCTACTGTGAATTACTTAAGTATCCTCAGCAATACAATGATCCAGGACTTATGATGAAAGGTGCTATTCATCTCCAGAGAAACAACTGGTGGAGCCTGAATGCAGCTCAAAGGTATTTTTTCTTAACTTTCTTTATTTTTCATGGAGGTTTTTTTGTCTGTGTTTTCTGTCACAGCCATGACTTACATGGAAATGTGTTTTGCATGACTACACTATGTCAAATTGCTTGCTTTCTCAATGAGGGGGTATGGAGAAGGTGGGAAGGAATTTGGAACTCAAAATTTGAAAAAAAATGTTAAAATTGTTTTTACATGTAATTGGGAAAAAATAAAATATTAAATAAATCCTTATAGAGTCAACTGATCCTTCTATGAATAACACCACTGGGGTAGCAAGAATTCAATTCAATAAACATGTATTAAGCACCTGCTGTGTGCATCATGCTAGATACCAAGTATACAAACACTGAAATGAAACTGTGCTAGCCCTCAAGGAGTTTCCTTACTTACATTCCATACAATATAAGTAATACATATGATAAATAAGTAAATTGTAAAATGTGGATAAGTAAATTTTTAAAAATACATATACATATACGTACAAGACAAATACAAACATTATCTGGAGGAGAACTAACATGGATAGAAGGAAGGAGATAAGCGTGTTTTTTTTTTAAAGTATCTACTTTACAAACTTTACACTTTACAAACACTATCTTGTAGGAGATGGGTGTGGCTTGAGCTGAGCTGAACTAAATATTCTAAGAGGTGGAAATGAAGAAGAACAATCCAGTGGAGAAGAAGGGAAAGGGAGGGGCATAGCCTGTGCAAATATACAGAAGATGGAATATTGTGGATGGGAAACCACAACCAGGCCAATTTGGCTAGAACCTAGAGGGTGGGAAGAGGAATAACAGGTGAAAACAGTCTGGAAATATGGGTAGGAGCCAGATAAGACCAAACTTTATCTGAAAGATTTGTTATTCAGAGGCTCTGACTGCCAAGCTGAAGACCTCCTTCCCCATGGTCATTCCCCTCTCCCTCTTGCTGGACCACCCCAGCCCCATCCACCCTGAGTCCCAAGGCTGCTATGCTTTCCCATTCCATTGTGCCTTCAGGGGCCATGTTTAATTTTTAAGCTTCCTTTCATCCTGGACTTCTTTCTATCTTCTGGCCCTTACTGCATCCCTGGCCTCCATCTTCTGCCTGTTTATCCAGCAGAAGCAAACATACTGATACCACCCGCATGGCCACATCCAAAATCTCCCTCTGCCACTATCCAAAATCCTTATGGGAGAGCTTAATAAGTAGTTGTATATGATTGATGGAATACTATTGTTCTTTTAAGATTCACCCCATTTGTCTGTACCACTTCTAACTGTGATGCTTTCAGAATTTTGAACTCTGAAATTCTTCTGTTTATTAGCTTTTATCCTTCCACCTCTACCTCTGCATTATTCCTTTTAAAAATATTCTTCATCGGGGCAGCTAGGTGGTGCAGTGGATAGAGCACCAGCCCTGGATTCAGGAGGACCTGAGTTCAAATCCAGCCTCAGACATATAACACTTAGTAGCTGTGTGTCCCTGGGCAAGTCACTTAACCCCATTGCCTAGCCAAAAAATATTTTTTAAAAATATTCTTCATCCTTGTAAAGAGTTGCATGTTTTTTCTGAATTTAATTGAGGCTGAGCATGGTGGCACAAGTGTGTAATCCCTGCTACAGTCAGGATATGGCTAAGTTACAGTGGGCTATGCTAATTGGGTTTCAGAACTACGAAAGGTATTAATATGATGAGTCACCTGGGAGTGGGGGACCCACCCCGGAAAAAGGTATCTAGAACAAGTCAAAGCTCCTTGGCCAATCACTAGTAGGATGGGGTTTGTCACTAACCCCTACTTCTAGCCTAGGCAAGATAGTGAGATCTAGTCTTTTTTTTTTTTTAATTTGCAATAAGCTAAAATTTCAGAAAAAAATTTTGTTCTTTGAGGGTTCCTAAAGGTTATAAAACACTACATTTATCATATTTCATGTATTCCTTTGTTTTTATTCTGGTAAGTGAAATGTCACATGACAGACCTCACCTTTTTATAGAGGGGCTAACAGATGGTCAGTTAAGAGCAGATTTGTTTACATAAGGCCAATCTTCTATTTAGGAGACAAAGTATCAGTTTAAGCTATTTCTAAAAGACAGCCAAGGACAAGAAGATATAGTGAACAAATAAATGTTTATGTTCAAGCAGTGTTATTTCTCTCTTTTTTTCTTCAGTCCCAGTACCTCGCCCAAGCTCTTGAACATAATGGGTATTTAGTAACAATTGTTGAATTGATTTGATAGGCAGGATAAAAGGGTCTTACCTTCTGGCCAGCCCAAAGTCGATGATTTTAATTTGGTTTCCCATCTGATTTACACATAATATGTTCTCTGGCTAGGAAAGACGAAAAAGAGAATTTGACAGATGGCTGTTATTCCCATGGTGAATGAAGCACTTAGTATAGGCTACCTGACCATTTTGCTGCACAAAACAGTTTGCTGAATGAATAGATGTATTAGGACAGCGGTTTGGGGACCTCACCCTTTTAGGGGTCTGCAAGCTCAAAACTATTATCATGTGCAGTGCTAATACATTTTAATTTCTAACACAGTGAATGTCCATAGTCAAAGTCAGTTGTGTGCTGATAATCAACTCTCAGAAAAACTAAATGTACTTACAACACACTTTTAACTTTAACCTGAACTATTAACATTTTCTCCATCACTTTCTTAAGTCTTGACAATCAATAAAACAGTAAATCAAGCCTGGATGTGTAGCATTTGCAGATTTCAAAGGTATAAATGCTCACACTGAAAGTTTAACAGTTGGCTCTCCCAAGCTAGTTCGAGCTATCCCCAGCATACCCCAGGATATATAGCGTCCACATAAACAAAATCCCTTTTGGGGGGCGTCCTTAATAATTTTTACGAGTGTAAATTGCTCAGATGGCCTAACAGGGAGGCCCTGAGTTCCCTACCATGTCCCCTTACCAGATGGCTGACCTAGGAAGGGGAGTCAAGACAACTTTGGGCAGGGTCCAGTTTTCTAGATGTGATATTGCAGCCAGCTAGCCTGGCAGAGAAGCCAGGGTGTGTAGGACTCAAGTCCCACCCCCAGGGGTGGGGTTTAGGATTTGGAACTGGGATTGTATTTTAAAGGAAGGAACCAAACTAAGCTGTGTGTATATTTGTTTTATAGCTTGCTTTGTACTGTACAAGCTAGTTCCATTGTTATAATTTTGCAAACTTCATTTGCTGATTGCTTGACCAATACTTTGCATATTATTGAATTCTCTGTATATAAGTATTAATGTACAGATAGTTTCTGTATTAGTGAGTGTTGTAAAAGTACAGAAAGAACTTTTAATGTGAGAACTCTGTCATCACCAGAACGATACCGTCTAGTATAAATGTTCATATTGTTCTTTGGCATTCAAATTGACCTAGACCAGGAGTGGGGAACCTGTGGCCTCCGGGTCACATGTGGCCCTCTAGGTCCTCAAGTACGGGCCCTTTGACTGAATCCAAACTTCACAGAACAAATCCTCTTAATAAAAGGATTTGTTCTGTTAAACTTGGACTCAGTCAAAAGGCCGCACCCTAGGACCTAGAAAGCCACATGTGGCCTCGAGGCCACAGATTCCCCACCCCTGACACAGACCTTTTGCTTATAGGAACTGGGCTAAGCTGTTTATATATTTGCTTTATACTTTTGGAGTAAATATTTCTTTGCCAAAGGGGTGGAGGAAGAATTCAAAGTGTCCTGACACCACAAAGAGTGAGAACTGTTGTTTTACAGAAAGACTGAAGGCAAAGGGAGAAGGGTACAGCAGAGGATGAGGTGGATAGATAGTGTCATGGAAGCAACAAACATGAGCTTGGACAGACTTCAGGAGACAGTGGGATAGAAGGGCCTGACATGCTGTGGTCCATGGGGTCACCAATCCAATATGACTGAAAGACTGACACAAGGCAAACTATGACTTGGGCAGCTACATGGCACGGTGGATAGAGTGCCGGGCCTGGAGTCAGGAAGATTTATCTTCCTGAGTTCAAATCTGGCCTCAGACACTTTAGCTACGTGACCCTAGACAAGTCACTTAACCCTGTTTGTCTCAGTTTTCCCATCTGTTAAATGAGCTGGAGAAGGAAATGACAAACCACTTCAGTATCTTTGCCAAAAAAAAACCCAAATGGGGACATGGGGAGTGGGACACAACTGAACAACAACCAAAAAAAACCTACTAAGCTGCTTGTTTTTCTTATATTCCACCTCTTTTTATTAGGCCCTTAAGATAAAAATGGTTTTTACACTTTAAAATAAATATATTTTTAAAATGTAAAAAAATTCTTAACTGGAGCTGTACAGAAACAAATGGGCTGGATTTGGCTCTAGGGCCATCATTTGTTGACTCCTAATTTATTTTATTTTATTTTTTTGAGGTGGATCAGTAGACAGACCTTTTCTCCCCTTTTTATTTTTATTTTTTTAAATTAATTTATTTTGAATTATCAACAATCACTTCCATAAGTTTTTGAGTTTCAAATTTTTCTCCCCTTCCCTCCCCACTTCCCTCCCCAAGACAGCGAGCAATTTGATATAGGCTCTACATATACATTCCTCTTAAACATATTTTCACATTAGTGATGCTCTAAGGAAGAATTAGAACCAATAGGAGGAACCACCAGAAAGAGGAAACAAAACACAACAGAAGGAAAAAAATAGCAAATAGCATGCTTCGATCTGCATTCAAACTCCACAGTTCTTTCTCTAGATGTGGACAGCATTTTCCACCATGAGGCCTTTGGAGATGTCTTAGATCCTTGTATTGCTGTGACTCCTATTTTAAAGGATTGTACAGACCAAAATTCTGAACAGAAGCAAGCTTCTTGCAACCTGCATTGAATGAAGTGGCTTCTAAGCCACTTCTAGCCAGTTTTGCCCTCTCCTAGAGGCCAGCTGGGTGCATAGAGCACCGAGCCTCGAGTCAGAAAGTGTTCATTCATTTCAATGATGTTGCCAACTCTCCATGACCCCATTTTGGATCATGAACCTGCGTTCAAATAGAGCCTCAAACACTTATTAGCTATGTGAACCCAGGCAAGTCACCTAACTTTTGTCTGTCTCAGTTTCCTCAACTATAAAATGGGCATAATAATAGCACCTACCTCTCAGGGTTGTTGTGAGAATCAAATGAAAGAATATTTATAAAGTGCTTAGCACATAGTAGAGGAACTAAATAAATGGTTACTCCCTTCCCTTCCCCTTTTCTGCTGGGAAGATAACATAACGTTATCTGGGAAACGAGCTATGAAGACACAGATATCTCGGGAATGTGAAGAATCTGAAATCAGAGTTCCTCAGGTAGGGCCAGAGGGGCTAGGAGTGAGGCAAGGGTTGGACTAAAACCTTTTATTTTTTAATCATCTTAGTATGTTGAGCCTGTCAGCATCAGGAGTCTTCTCTCTTTAGGAGAGTAAAATCAGCTTTATCTCTCAGAAGTAGAGCGGGCTCCCTACCACATTCCCTGCAGAAGTGTTCTGAACAATAAATAAAACAGGGCTCTAGCCCTCTCTGGGATCCACTTACCAACTGCCCCATTATAAATCAGCCTGCTAGTTAGTGACAAGGGCCGACACTGCAACCCAGGTTAAGAACACCCTTTTCTCCCTGCATGGCCTTGGTCATCTTTGTTGTTGTTATTGTTCAGTTGTGTCCGACTCTTCGTGACCCCATGTTGGGGTTTTCTTGGCAGAGACACTGGAATGGTTTGCCATTTCCTTCTCCAGCTCATTTTACAGGTGAGGAAACTGAGGGAAACAGGATTAAGTGACTTGCCCAGGGTCACACCCCTACTAAGTGTCTGAGGTCATATTTGAACTCAGGTCTTCCTGATTCCAGGCCCAGAACTCTATCCACCTTCTTGGTAATATCTTAATTATGAACTGACACCTGTCAGAACAGAGAGCATAATAACTTCTCCTTTCCCCTTCCTCAATTCACTTCAAGCTAAAACAAATAGGAAAGTGGATAAGACTGGATCATGTCTTCTGTTGTTAATGGGGCTGACCATCCCTGGCTCAGTCAGACCCTTTCGAGGGCCTGACCTCTACTGGCCTTCAGGTCTGGCATTTAGCTAAGAACGCAGATGTGCTGTTGCTTCGGCAGGTTTGGATGGGACTGTGTAAGGTAATGACATGGAATCTGGTTAGATTGGAAGTAGGATCATGGATTTCGAGTTGGAAGGAACCTCTATGGCCTTCTTATCCAGTCCCCTTCTGATGAGAAAACTGAAGCCCAGAGAGAATAAGTGATTTGTCCAAAGCATACAGGCAATAATAGCCCTTAGTTGTCCCTAAGTAATTGGCCCAACTTAAAGATAACTCTGGTTTTCCTGAGGATTCATTCTTTGGGTTTCTCCTGGTGGACACAGGGGCAATCAGCAGCTCTGTTCCCTCCCTTTCTGGTGGGTGAAAGCACAGTGTTCCCTCTCTCTCCTTCCCTCCACTGCTTTCTCTTTCACTCCCTTCTTCCCTCCAGAAGAGGTCATCTGATTCTCTCTTATTTTCAGGAATGCTTGAGTGCCTGGCTCTTGAGGGTTACTGTTAAGAATTATATTCTCAGGGGCAGCTAGGTGGTGCAGTGGATAGAACACCAGCCCTGGAGTCAGGAAGACCTGAGTTGAAATCCAGCCTCAGACACTTGACACTTACTAGCTGTGTGACTCTGGGCAAGTCACTTAACCCCAATTACCTCAAGGAAAAAAAAAAAGAATTACATTCTCAGTTTATAGAAGTTGTTATAGAAGGATTTATGTGTTTGTTCAGGGCTAGGAGTTTCCCCCCAGGTCCATGCATGTGCAAGTCCTCATAAATAACTCTCCCTCAATTAAGCAAAATTGATTTTTTTTTTATTCAATGGGGTTCAGCCAGCCAAGTGAACTACGGTCTACAACCTAAAAGATCCAAAGCTGCTGGCGGTGTTAGGGTTAGTTGGACTCCTAAATCCTTTCCCAGAGGGAAGATAATGACATGAAATCTGACTAGAATGGAAATAGGAAACAAGGCAGCTAGGTGGCAAAGTGAATAAAGCTCTGGACCTTAAGTCAGGAAGACCTAAGTTCAAATCCAGCCACAGACACTTAACTAGCTGGGTGACGCCAGGCAAGTCATTTAACCATCTGTAAAATGGGGATAATAATAGTACCTACCTTTCAGGGTTGTTGTGAGGATGAAATGAGATAATTATAAAGTGCTTAGCACATAGTAAGCATCATATAAATGTTAGTTATCATTATTTATTATGACGATTAATAAGGTTTCCTAATTCAGTGCTATACTTCGAGTCTGGAAGACCTGAGCTCAAATCCTGCCTCAGGGATTTATATTTGTTGTTGTTGTCGTTGTTGTTGACGACTTATATTTATATATTTTTATGGGCAGCTTGATGATGCAGTGGATAAACTGCAGGGCCTGGAATCTGGAAGATTCATCTTTGTGAGTTCAAATCTAGCCCCAGAAACTTATTAGCCGGGTAATCCTGGGCAAGTCACCTAACCCTGTATGCCTCAATTCCTCATCTGTAAAAAGAGATGGAGAAGGAAATGGTAAACCACTCCAATATCTTTGCCGAGAAAACCCCAAATGGGGTCACGAAGAGTTGGACACAACTTAGCAACAACAACAACATATACATAGGTTTGTGTGACCTTGGGCAAGTCATTTAACCACTTCTAGTCACAGTTTCCTCATCTATTAAATAAGGATAATAACAGCACCTACTTCACAAGGTTTTCACAAGAATCAAATGAGATAATATATATAAAGGGCTTTGCAAACCTTATAGAGTTACACAAATGCTAATTATTATTATTAGTTTATTTGACTTAAAAAAAACTAATACAATCTGAGTCAGGATCTTGAGACTTCATTCTTTTTAAGGGAGAGGTACCTTGGCTACTCAAGAGGGAAAGTTAAAGCTTTGATACTTATAAAACTTTTAGGGAAATGATGACTTTCACTAAATCCTTTTTCCTCCTTTTTCAATAGTCAATCACCTTTCTATTAGGAAACTGTAAAAGGTTTAGAACAAATTCTAAGGTCTGAAAATGGATTGAGGGGAGTAACCAAGCTTAGAGCCTTAATACTGGTACTTAAGTCTAGGTAAGGTCCTTGCCTCTAACCACCTTTGATCAGGCTGATTGGTTTAGGAAATGATTCTCTAGTATTTCTAGACATTGCAAGTGACTGTTGTTCAGACTGATGAAGCAGACCATTAACTGATCTGTTACCTAAGCTCTGAACCCTTGCTCAATCTTAACTGTGAAATTTTGTCTACTGTTTGAGGAATATTATAAATTACAACCCCAAAAAAGATTAACAGCTGCTTTGGGTAACTGTTCATCTTGGGATCTTTCCTAAAGCAGAAATGTTTAGAATTAGTTTTATTTAAATTAGTAAAAGGCTGGCTTGTGCCTAAAATATAAAGAGTTTTCTTCTACCAAAGTAGCATCCAAAAAGCCAGACCAAGATTCCAAGCATATTGAAGTGTACTAGAAAGACTGACAGGTCAGATGTATATACTAGTCTGTGCCCTGACATCAGTGAGTTATGTAAATCATTTATCCTCTGGGTATCCTGCTAGGTAAAAGGAGGGGGTTGGTTTAGATGGCCCCTGAGCTCCCTTCTAGCATTGACTTTCTAAGATAATTTAACTGCCATCGAGCTCCCACAGCTGTGGTTCTAGGATCAATCCTTACTGACCTTCAGGTCCAGGTGCAGAATGTAATGCTGGTGCAGGTAGTGAAGGCCCTCACAGATCTGTTTGGTGAAGAGGACTGCATCCAGCTCTGTCAGGTGGTACTTTTCATCTGTGATCCGGTCAAATAGCTCACCACCATCAACACTGCAAGTCCAAACAAGAAAGGGTACGTCATTGAGTTCCCAGGACGATTCTGTTGTGATCATCCCTGTCTTTCCACTTACAGCAAAAGATCCAATAACAATGTGGTTTTGGTGGGTGTCAAGAGGCTACAGGAGAAAAGGAAGAAGCATTTATTAAGTGCCTACTAAGTGCTGGGCACTGTGCTAAGTGAATTTGATCAGAAGACCTGAGTTTGAATCCACCTGTGTGACTATGAGTAACTCATTACCCCTCTCTTGGCTCTGGTCTCCTCCTTTACAAAATGAGAGAGTTGCCAAGGAGCAAAGACAGAAAGAAAAGTCCCATACATGCCAAAATGTTAATGGCAGCATTTTTGTGTGTTGTGGCAAAGGACTGGAAACAAAACAGAGACTCATCGGTTAGGGAATGGTTAAAAAAAAATGGACATACATGAAGGTAATAGACTACTTTTAATATGAAGAATTCAAAGAGGCATAAGACTGATGCAGAATGAAGCAGAACGACAATATGCAATATACCCAATGACTACAATTATAGAAATGGAAAGAACAAAAAATAAAAATAAAAAGGAGTATATATTTATTATAACCAAGAAGTCTGGCCTTGGAGAAGAGTTGAGAAAATTCACCTTCCTCCTTCTTTGCAGAGGTGGGACACTCTGGGTGAGGATTATTAATACATACCCTGCCAGATTCAGCTGATTATATTGGTTGGTTTTCCTGGAACTGCTTTATTTTTTCTCTTTCTTTTTTCATTTGTTGTAGATTGTAAGTTCCTTGAGGGTTAGGGACTGTCTTTTGCCTCTTTTTTGTATCCTTAGCACTTAGCACAGAGCCTGGCACATAGTAGGTATTTAATAAATGTTTATTAATTGATTGATTCATTGTTACAAGGGATGACTCATCTACTAGGGGATGGGAGAGGGATCTATTCATAAATGAAGTCATTGTAAAAACAAAAGAAATAATTTAAAATGCTTTTAAAAAGAAACAAAGGGTTTGATTTAGGTGATTTCTAACGTCTTTTGCAGCCTTGAATCCTTTAACTGAGCAGCACCCCTGCACCCCTCCTTCACAACTCCCAGGTTTTAATCTCCATCATTCAGAAGCTGATCTTGGAGTCTGTACCAATCACCAGGGTCTTTCCTCTTGCTTCTGCCTCTCCTACTGTCTTCTGGTCAAAACAGCGGTAGATGAAAAGGGGGAAGAGAAAAAACTCAAACCTATTCATTCCGGGAAATTGGAAATGGAAAAAAATAGTCAACAACCATCCAAAGAGTTTTTGTATTATCAAGACATGTTGATTATCCAAGTTCTTCCTGACCCTAGAAATCATACATCATCTAGAATTTCCTTTAATAAAACTTTCTGATCTAGTTCTGCCTGAAAGAGCTTTCCCAACAATTACTCCGTTCACCAAAACTTCTTTATAGAGACTGAGACACTGAGGGAACGGAGACGAAGGAAAACTTGCCCAAAATCACATAGCAAGTTGTTGCCGTGTTAAGTCATTCAGTCGTGTGACCCTGTGCACCACAGCACAGCCACCACTGTCCATGGGGTTTTCTTGGCAGAGATAGTGGAGTGGTTTGCCATTTCCTTCCCCAGCTCATTTGACAGATGAGGAAACTGAGGCAAGCAGGGTTAAGTGACTTGCCTGGAGTCATACAGCTAGTAAGTGTCTAAAAGTGGATTTGAACTCAGGTCTTCTTAACTCCAGACCCAGTGCTCTACCCACTGAACCACCCAGCTGCTTCACACGGCAAGTAGGATAGGGCAAAAGGAAAATCAAGGGCCTTCTTAAATCATAGATCTGAACACGTCAACCCTGGGATCAAAATCTTCAATGGCTCTTGGCTGCCTCTAGGATAAAACCTATACTCCTGATGCTGGCTTTTAAGGCTTTCCATGATGTATCTCCAACTTATCTTTCCAAACCTGTCTCCCACCACTACTTTGGTAATGATCTCTCTTCATCGGCAAAACTGAACCACTCATCATTTTCCTGACAGGCCCCATGATTTCTTCCATGTCTTTGCTTATTTTTTTTTTAATACCTGGAGTAACCCTTCTTTATGCCTATTAAAATACTAACCATCCTTTAAGACCCAGCTTAAATGCCATCTTCTATTTGGTGTGTCTCGTTACCATCTCAGCCATAAGTGATCTCTCCCTTCCTTAAACCTCATAGTATTTTGTTCCTCCCTCATAGCTAACACCTAGTCCAACCCCTTCATTTTATAGATGAGGAAATCAAGGCACAGAGAAACGAAATGATTTGCCCAATCTCACACAGAGAGTAAGTGGCAGACCAGGAATCTGAACCTATGTTCTTTATCTTGAAATCCATCAACCTTCCTCTAGATCAGTGGGGTCAAACTCAAATGGAGGCAAGGGCCATCAAATTATACCTAAAGATCCAAGTGGATAAATATTGACTTAGAAAATCACATATTAATGTCATCAGTGTTTTATTGTATTTTTGTTTATTTTGTCAAATATTTCCTAGTTACATGGTAGGTGTTTAATAAATGTTTATTAATTGATTGATTCTTTGTCATCCACTGCAGGATAGGGGAAGGATCTATTCATAAATGAAGTTATTGTAGAAACAAAAGATATAATTTAAAATGCTTTTAAAAAGGAACAAAGGGTTACTCTAGTTCAGATGGCACTTGGGAGTGTTGCTGTGGTGTGCCCAGGGTTGCCTCTTTGACACCTTCACTCCAGACCATGCTGCTAAATCCTGATTAATTCAAGCATTATCAAGAGAAGGTGGAGTTCTGCCTTGGACACGCTGGCTGTGTCCATGAGAACACAATGTTTTCCCCAAGCTTCTGCCCATCATCCCACTTTCCCCCTTGGGGCCATACTCACTATTCCATGACCAAAGTGAAGCTGTTTTTGCTCTCAAAGGCATCATAGAGCTGGATCAGATTGATGTGGCCAAGCTGGTTCATGATGTTGATTTCATTCTTCACTTCCTCCTGGGGACAGAGGCATTTTTAGGAATATGAGGCTACAGATGATAAGCTAGACCACTGTTTAAAAATCCCTGTTCCCCCCCACACACACACACCCCTCCTACTTTTCTTTTACTTGTTCTAGGTCTCATTTCCCCTCTGTTAGAGTCTACTAGACTCTAAGATCTGGAAGAGATCATAAGTTATCTAAGTCCAACCTCCTTCTAGACTGCTAGAGAGAGGAGTCTCAGAGAGTGACTTGACCAAGGTCACACAGACAGTTACTAGTAGAACCAGGACAAGAACTTACATCTAAGTTAGTCTAAGACACTTCTTACTACCTGGTCAGAGTAAAGAGACCCCAAGATGTATGACTAGGTGAATGTTTCCCAATTATTTTCTTTTTTTTGAGGGGGAGGGCAATCAGGGTTAAGTGAATTGCCCAAGGTCACACCGCTAGTAAGTGTCTAAGGCCAGATTTGAACTCAGGTCCTCTTGACTCCAGGGCTGGTACTCTATCTACTGCGCCACCTAACTGCCTCCCAAATATTTTCAATCTGTGACACACATTTCTGAACCTGATGGTATATACCATGAGGGTTTTACTCAATAAGCAGCCATTATTTTATACCATCTGTCAAAAGACTCCTCTCTAAACTACATATGTAACAAAGGTTAATGCTATCTGTGTCCTCCTCGTCACAGAGCGGCAGAGAGGTTATTGTTGTTCAGTTGTTTTCAGTCATGTCCAACGCTCTGTGACCCAATTTGGGGTTTTCTTGTCTGAGATACTAGAGCAGTTTGCCATTTCCTTCTCCAGCTCATTTTACAGATGAGGAAACTGAGGCAAATAGGGTTAAGTGCCTTGACCAGAGTCACACAGCTAGTAAATGTCTGAGGCCCGATTTGATGAATGTTCCTGACTCCAGGCTGGGTGCTCTATCCCCTGCACCACCTAGCTGCCCCTAGCAGCGAAGTACAGGGACTCAAACAATGAGGTCATCGCTTCAGAGTTGGAAGGGACCTTAGAGATCATTTAGCCCAGTCTCCTCATTTTAAAGATGAGGGATCTGGAGGCCCAGGGAGGTGGGTAATTTGTCCAAAGTCACACGGTCCATGTGGCAAAACTGGGGTTCAAACCCAGATCCTCTGACTCCAAACAATATCCATTCCACTGCACAGTGATGCCCCATTCTTATGATTCAGAAAATATTCAGTCTCACTTTTATTCCAGTTTAATTCTTTTAAAAAATATAGACTCAGGGACAGCTAAGTGGCACAGTGGATAGAGCACCTGGATTTAGGAGGACCTGAGTTCAAAGATGGCCTCAGACACATAACACTCACTAGCTATGTGACTCTGGGCAAGTCACTTAACCCCATTGCCTAGCCAAAAAAAAAAATATATATATATATATATATATACACACACATATATGTGTATATATATGTATATATGTATATATGTACATATATGTATATGTGTGTGTGTATATATCTATATCTATAGATATAGATATAGATATAGGAACTATATATATAGACTCAGTTCCTATTCAAACTATATAAGCTGGGTTTTTGGTTTTGGGGGTTTTTTGCCCAAAAAGAAAAAAAGAAAAAAGAAAAAAGCCTTGGTCCAGATCATACAGAGTTCAATTAAAAAAAAATCAATCAGCATTACAACTTGGTTCAGGATTCACAAGTTAGTGCAGTGCCTTCTGTTTCTGGATTCCCATTTTCTTTTGGTTCAAATCTCTTAAATGAGTAAGAAAACCCTATAATCCAGTGACTCTGGCCCTCTTGCTGTTCCTCACCCCAGACATAGCATCTCCTGATTTTGATCCCAGGCCTTTTACTGGCTGTCTCTTGTGCCTGCAATGTTTGCCCTCCTCCTCTCTGACCCCTGGCTTCCCTTGAGTCTCAGGGTGAAAATCTAGAGAATCCACCCCAAAGGCTCACATGGACTATTTGTACCTGACCTGTGGTAGAGCCTTCTGAGCTCATACTGGTCTGATCGGCCACAGCTGGACCCACCGTATCTTGACCCCAACATAGCAATGTCATTTTGGTCTTCTTCGAGAACAAAGGACAACCACCACCAAAATCTCACCTTCTTCAAGAAACCGTTCCCAGCCTCCTTTAATGCCGGGCCTTCCCTCTGAGATTACTTCCGGTTTATCCTGTCTATATCTTGTTTGTACAGAGTTTGCAGGTTTGTCTCCCCCCATTAGACTGTGAGGCCCTTAAAAATACAGACTAGTTTCCTGGGATGGGGGGGAGAAGGTTTTGAGGAAGGGGTTGCCTATCGTTGGATCCCTAGGGCTCAGCACAGTGCCTGGCATGTAGTAAGTACTTAATAAATGTTTATGGACTAACTAAGGATTATCTTGCCTTCCCTAGCAGACCTCAGACAAATGCAAGCCCACAGTGCTCTGAAGTAGCCCATTCCACTTTTATGACTGCTCTAATTATTGGGAAATTTTTCCTCATCCTGCACAAAGACCTGCCTCTTTTTTGTTATTAATTTATTTTGATTTATCAATAGTCACTTCCATAGGCTTTTAAGTTTTAAATTTTTCTCACTCTCCTTTCCCACCTCCCTCCCCAAGATGACGTGCAATCTGATACAGGCTGTACATGTACATTCCTACTAAACATATTTTCATATTAGTGATGCTGTAAGGAAGAATTAGAACCAATAGGAGGAACCGTCAGAAAGAGGAAATAAAAATAGAAGAAAAAAATAGCAAATAGTGTGCTTCGATCTTCATTCAAACTCCATAGTTCTTTCTTTGGATATGGATAGCATTTCCTATCATGAGACCTTTGGAGATGTCTTAGATCCTTGTATTGCCGAGAATGGTTAAGTCTATCAACGTTAGTCATTGTACAATGTGGCTGTGACTGTGTACAAAGTTCTGGTTCTGCTCACTTCACTCAGCATCAGACCATACAAGTCTTTCCAGGTTTTTCTGAAGTCCACCTGCTCATCATTTCTTATAGCACAACAATATTCCATTACATTCATATACCACAACTTGTTCAGCCATTCCCCAATTGATGGGCATTCCCTCAATTTCCAATTCTTTGCCACCACAAAAAGAGCTGCTATAAATATTTTTGTACATGTGGGTCCTTTCTCCATTTGTATGATCTCTTTGGGATATAGCCCTAGAAGTGCTATTGCTGGGAATATCTGCCTTTCTGTGCCTGCCATGTATTGCTGCTAGTTCTGCTTTCTGAAGCCAAG